CGGCAAATTTTTTATCATCATGTATTAGTCAAAACATATTCTTTCACATGATTGGTAATGAGAGCTTCCATTTCATTTTTTGAAATTGGGGCCTTTCCAATACTGGTCTTTACCTTTAAGTGGAAGGTAGAAATATGTTTTAAAGCAAAGCATAAAGCTTCAGAGAAGAGATTATCATAGATATTTTGAACCACTTTTTCTATCGTACAAGATATGCAGGAAAACTTCGTAAAGTTTCCTGTAAATACAAACAACCTTTACTTTTGTGGGAAATTGCACGAGGTCTGTGTTTTGTTGGTTGCTGTGCTGCCTGTTATACTTTGCATCATGTCTTTCTAGTGTCAACCTTTACGCCAACGAGACCGACAACATACTGAATATGACATTACCTCGAATGGCAAATAATCGGTCGGTTTGGAGGCCAGATTTCCGTAATATAAAACATGATATGTACCTTTAATAAGAACAGTGACATTTCCTGAGAGGATACGTGGGTGTATGTCTTTATCTTGGTTAGGACATCGAAAATGAAAGAGAGAGAGAGAGAGAGATACAGAGAGAGAGAGAGACAGAGAGAGAGAGAGAGAGAGAGAGTTATATGGGATGTATGTAAAAGGGCAACTTTGGTCTAAAAATAACTTGGGTATCTTTGTCTCAGATTCTGAAACAAAGTCCTGGATTTAGCTCATGCCGCAATGATAATTATAAACCTTTAGGTCAGTCAGGAACCCGTGACTGTAACAAGCCGATCGCCTGTCTGATTATCAAGATATTTATGAATGGAATCAAAATTTAATTTTTCCTTTTCCTAACGGTTTTTATAACACTACAGTGTATTGGGGAAAATGAGTATGGTAAAACCGGTCACTCGAAGATCTTTACTTTTTTGAGGCACTTCATGATCATTTTGAAGCACATATTTTCTAGGGCTTCAATATTACACCATATCACAGACACTGCCATGCATCTCAGATTTAACATTGTTAAACGATGCCTTTAAAGGGATCCGGTAACTTTGTCTCGGATTCTGAAACAAAATTCTGGATTTAGCTCATGATGCAATGATAATTATAAACCTTTAGGTCAGTCAGGAACCCCATGACTTTTACAGGCCGATCGCCTGTCTGATTATCAAGATATTTATGATTGGAATTACAAATTTTGAAAACCGTTCGCCTGACGGTTTTCATAACACTACAGTCTATTGGGAAAAACGAGTATGGTAAAACCGGTCACTCAAAGATTTTTTACTTTTTTGAGGCACTTCTTGATCATTTTGAAGCGCAATTTTTTTAGGGCTTCAATATTACACCACATCACAGACATTGATAACATGTAGGGCCGTGTATCTCAGATTTAACATTGTTAAACGATCCCTTTAAAGATAAGTTGGTTTCGATTAAAGCAGGAACAAATCAGAGAAACCAATCAAAGAACTTCCAAGAAGTCTGAAAAAGATTATGACAGAAGATCGAGGCAGTCGAAAGTTAGTATCCCTGGCCCCCAGACAAATCTTGGAATAACCATTGAAATACATGTATACAGGACTTTCTGAAGACTTTTCTGGCAATATGAAAGCCTATCGAATCGGTACAGACAGATTCAATAAATGTTGAGCAAGAATTTCATGAAATAATGACATGCATAAATCCAGAATTTCACATACTTTATTTGATGCCATTGCCTCTGTTCAGTGCGTCTGTTTATTAGACCCACTGCGATATGCACAAGTGCAGTTTGGGTCTAGCCATTTAACGAGGGGGCACTGATGTAGGGGCTGGGGGGGAGGGGGTAACGGGATGACACCAGACCTACGAGTTGGATAAAGTGCTTGAGAACAATTACGGCCAGTATTTGAGGGGAGTTGTATAATCGTCTCTCTTTTAAGTTGCTCTCCCACTTGGCCCTTCTTTTTATCTACTTTCTTCATGGATAAAAACAAATATTTTCTCTATCAATTTTATTTGGGGGCACATCTACCCGATGTCCCACTGTTGCTTAAGTTGTACAGTAGCTACTGTATGCACAAATTCAAGAGGAAATTTAGCTTTCACTTTCTGAGCAAGTGTAGCTCTTGTTGCCCGAAAAGCCTCTCTTGGTTTGTATTAATTACTGAACTACAATGTAGGACTTCACACACTCAAGGAAGAAAGATTACCGAGAGTCCTTTCCAGGTCTCCCTAATCCCCCCTCTCTCACATGGTGCAACTGCAAGCCTACTGTATAATACATATATCTAATAAAATATATATATAGAGTGTTTTGTCCAGGGTTAAAGTAGGTAATTTAGTTGCTGGTGGAAATTTACATTGTAGCATGTGTCATAGAACCAACAAATTCTGTAACAAGAAGAAAAGGAAGAAAGAAAAAAATCCCTCTCTATTGTAAATTTTTCACCTGTTCAAAAGTGTTTTTCTGGAAGAGGGTGTTTGTTTATAATTAAAGGAGATATGAAATGAAATCATAATTTATCAAATCCTTTGTAACCCAAATATTTGTCTCTGAATGGATCCCACTGAGAACTGAAATGGCTCCTGTAAAATAGTTACATGAGGAATCTCCAGGTATAGGCCTAACTTTGACTTTAAATTGAAAAAAGACAACCCAGTAAAAATAAATGAAGAGGTTCAGAACCCAGCCTCCCCACTCAGTGTTATTTAGGGTACGCATGTGCGTGTTCCCTCCTTTTGAAAACACCCCCTAAGTCCGGTGTGTAAAGTCAATTTTGTGTATGTACGAGCCGGACTTAGGTGCGTGAAATGTACCCCTTTACCGGACATTTTGGTAACATGCATACGGTCATTCCGACCCCGGAGTGGGGGGGGGGGGCGGGATGCAGAATTAGATATTTTTTGATACTAAGAATTGAGCATAAATAACATACATGGGCAAGTAGCAAATAATGACATATGAAAGAAAAAAAATGGAAGGAGGTACAGTGTCATACATTTTTAATTTTTGTTATTAACGTACACAGGCAAATGTCAAAATCATATCGGTAATGACCATTTTTTTTAAAGGGAATGAATGAGAGAGAAATATGGGGAAAAGGTAAAATTACTATCATAATTTCCCCCTACAAAAGGCTTCATGTACAAAGTGTTGAGCCTGACAAACAGCGCTGCTGTATTGCAAAAAGAAGAAAAAAAAACATATATCTGTCCCCTCCATATCCCCTTGATGTGGCGGAAACAGTAGGACCTTTTGAGGTTAGTTCATGGTTTGGACCCCAGCCAAATAGTAGCACATGACTCAAGCCAGATAGAAATCAAATATTCTCCAGGGAATATCATGTTCTATGGATTGCACATTGGTATTAGCCTTCCTCCCGCGCTCCCCTCACTTTTATTCTATCGACTGTTGCAAGCAGATAGGGTTGCTTCCAGGCTGAAACAATTTTGTTTACTTTTTCATTAAATGAAAAGTCCACTCTGGCTTTGAGTTTATAGCTTTTAAAACAAAATCATAACTATAAGAGAAGCAGATCAATGAAAGTTTCATGAATATTTGATGAAGGATAAGAAAGTGATGTATTTTTAAAGTTTTAATGAATTAATCAAAAGCAAATTGGCAAGTCTGAAACATATATTCAGAGCACCTTTCCTATTTACTCTGTACTAAAGATTTAATGAATTTATAACTTCTTTGAAGAAAAATAAACACCTGTTGAAATTAATGGAAACTTGCTCTCCACAGAGCAGATGGGAGAAGTGCCCACGATGTTTATACAGTCTAACTCTAACCTGCTTTGGTGACCACCTGTCTACAAAGGCCACATTTTTTTTCTTCCCTCGAAAATGGTTTCTCATTGAAACATGTACTAAAGGAACCTGTCTACAAAGGCCACTTTTTGTGTTTCCCTTGGGCAGTCGCGACAGGTTTGACTATATATCAAAGAGTTGCCAATTTGAATTTGATCACTGAAAAACTTAACATGCTACAAAATCAATACTTTCCAATTTTTGATTGGATGTTCCTCATGTTTATTCTGACCTGCTGCTCTCATTTTTAGCTTCTATTAATACCAATTTAGTTTTAGATTCAGGGTGATACACTTTCAGATCTCACTAGTTATGTGTAATTCCTCTTACAGTACATGTATATCTCCAGCTAAGATACCAGTGTATAGTACAACAACTACAAAACTGACGGTATTCCATTACTAAGTGGGTCATATTATTGCATGCAAGTTATATAAGAATATGGTTATATTCTAGTCAGGTGATATATCCTACATGTTGTAGCTGTCTCAGTGTGCAGGAGAATTTACAGATATCAATGGCTTCAGTCTAACATTGCATTTATTGATATTATTATTGTGTAAGAATCAAATGTAGCATTTTATTTGTATTATTGTATCCACAGCTCATCTACATGTTGTATTCCTATATCAATTAAGAATAATTGATAATCAACCAATTTAAATGATTATATAAGCAATTTCTTTTTGAAAAATTCTAATAACATGTCAATTTTATGCAATGTTTCCTCCTTCTTTTCTCTATTTTCCTTACCGGTATCTTCCCTTATTTTCCCTTTTTTGAAATTTTGATTTAATGTTAATTATGTACCAAAGTTGTGGTTATTTTGTGTATTTTGTGAGGATCATTTTTAACAAGCTATTTACTGGTATGTGCTTTTCATGAACCTCCCACTATAAATATATATTTATATATGTTTGTACTCTGAATATTATATCTGATGTTTTATGAACGAATATGTTGTATTCCTTAATTACTCTGAATGTCTTTACCTAACATGAACTACCTGAATCACAGATTTTGAAAATAAAGGTAACCTAAAGCCCTCAGGATTGAGAGAATTCAGAAGTAATCGATTAAAGTTTTGCATATATGTAACTGTTGTACATGTATATATTTCTGTTGTACATCTACAGTGTACATGCAAGTTTACACTGTAGACAATTTATTCACTTAAAAGCCATCATGTTTTATTCAAATGTTGCCATTTTGTTCTCCCTCCCTCCTCCTCTCTCTCAGAATTTACCCGAAGCTGCCAGAAGACCCATATTAGAAATTCAACTCACAAATATTTCAAATGTAAGTATCCTATAATTCCTTTATTAGCTGTGTATCCTACATGTACATGGGATGAAACGAGTATACACCCACCAAGATTCAGAAAGAGACATATGTTTTTTTATTTTGTTATTAAGGTCGAGGTCAAGTCTCGAGCTGATGAAGACGCGATTTGTAACTTCGGAATTATTTCCCAAATCAGAAATAGCGGGCTATTTTGCAATCATGAGCTGATGAAGACATATCTACAGTATGAAGGAAACGTGTGATGATGGCCTTTCCTTATTGCTCTCCTAAGGATGGTTGAGGTGTGCGCATTACATAAGACCCATTGGTCGTATAAGCGAGGTCCACTCTTGGTGACCGACAGCACCTATTTTGGGGGTAACTGCCTGAATGGTGTCAAATGCCCTATGAGAACCCATGATTATGAGTCTTTGAAAGGGTCATTTCTCACACCTTCATGCCCGCTTGACTCACTAGGTCTATTTACACATCCCACACTCCATTTTTGAAAAATCATTGATTTCTTGGACTGCCATTTACACTATCGAAAAACGCATAAGAAACCGCCAGTGTTTGCTTATACAGAATTTTTGTGTCAGTGGTGCGCATGCAAGACTTGTTGCTACTCTGCTTGAGATCGCACAGAAGCAAGGAGAGTCACGTGACGATAAAACAGAATCATACCAAACTTTCGATTCACACTGAAATTTTGGCAGGCATTTACAAAATATCACACTCCAGAGATGGCAGTTTTGATTTCGATTTTTCATCGTTTTTGCTGGAATGTGAGAAAAGTTAACGATTTTAGCTTGCAGTGTGAAAGCAACTTCTGTACGTTGCTCCTTTGTCCAGGCACATCCTGTGCAGCAGATATTCCCCAGGACCACCTTACTGTACATGTAGGTTGGCCTGGATGCTGTACAACCAACAGTGCATGCCTGCACTGATATCAGCCTAGGGTAGATCAGCTCCTAGCTGAGAGCCAATTTGGCAATTTGTGTAGTGGTTTTTCATTGTTCCATAGTTTTTCATACTTCTTAAAAAATTCCTAACTTCCTTATTAGTGATCCGATTTTCCTCAAACCTTTTTTGCTCGGTTTTTCCTGTTTTTCTGCATCTATTGAAAGCAAGTTATTTTTGGAGTGGACTTAGTCTTTAAGGACCTGCATCTACCGGTAGTTAACAGATTAGTTCCAAAGGAAATAACTTTCGTACACTTGATTAATATCCTTCAAATTGAACTTGAAGATAATTATAGCAGGCATTGTTTGCTAATTGGACAAAGAATAGAATTCACTTGAAATCCATGGATTGTGCAGATAGTGCAAAGGCTTGCCCTTGAATCTAGAAAAAAGGATGCTGCAATCACATGCACCAGCACTTGAAATAATTTAGATGATTTTATATTACATGTTCTACTGAGTGCAATGTTATACAGTGAAACCTGTCTATAAAGACAGGTGTATCTTCAGTTAAGTTATTCTTATTGGCTCTTTCCTCGGTGGCAAGGGATTCAGTATGCCATAGCCAAATGGGACCCTTCACCATTGGCTACAGCCAATGATGTCGGACCCGTGGCACGTCAGAAAGATTACGTTATTTGAGGGATTTTATGATATTATAATGATAATCACATTCGATTTGTATAGCACATGATAATTGTAACTTAATTCTCTACCAGTTTTATGTCATATAATTCAAATTGGTTACCATGAACATATAAAGAAAAAATACAACACTTCCTTCGTGTTCATCATCTGAGCTCAAACGTTCTGCCAGGCTCTTACACACTGAAGAGCCTTCTCATTTGCTGCTACTACATTGTAGGTCTTCCAGGCAGCATTGGTCATCTAGGAGTGGGCATCTTAATAGGTGTGACATAGATTGCATGGATGTTCCACACTCACAGTGTGTGTCTGTGTCATCTTTACATCCCCATTTATCCATTTTGTATTTGCATCACCCCACCCCTGTGCAAATAGAGATGTGACACTGATGTGGTCCACATGACCGACATGTCTCCAAAGACCACAAAACCAACAGCTTGTGAACTGCATGATGGTGCACCTTCAATACAGTTTTTTTTTTAACAAAGTCAAACTTAACTCTAAGTTGGACTTAAATATTAGGGAGAGCCATTTGTAGCCTTATAATGAAATACATTCAAAAGCAAAATTGAAGTATTTTAGATTTTTCGTAAATTCCACATCAAGAGCAAGAAATCTCCCAAGATAATAGAAAATATGAATGATTTGAATCATCATTTAATGCCTTTTAAAATAATTTTTACAAAATATTTTCAATGATACTAACGGCTTTCCATAATTGTGAAGTCCAACTTAGGGATAACACAAACTTAGGATCTTTGTGAAACACCACCCAGATCTTTCTACAGGGTTGTTCCTCAGTGGCAAGAGATTCAGTACAGTATGCCATTTCCAACTGCCAACGGTGGTACAGCTAGTCCACAGGACGGAAAGCCCATGAAATTGACAGTTCACAAGACTGTTAATATCGGTCTCCCAGGCCTTCTGAATAGTTACGATTTTATCAGAAGATACGTGAGACCAATGTCTCATGAGACCAACAGCCCATGAGACTCATAGGCTTTCTTATAACTTTTGTGAGGGTTCCCTAGACAGGCTTGTAAACCGTTGGTCTCATAGGGTATTGATCTCATGGGCTGTTGTCACCCCTCTGTCTGCTGGGATGTCCAGGCCGTTGCTACATGTATACAGGCATCACATATTCTGTACTGTAGTTATATTTAAAACCATAGATAATAGGTGTTAAATGAAAAATGAAACCGTCCATAACTGGTTAATGTATGAAGAAGGCCCCAATGTATACAAAAGAAAACATGTGAGTTTGTGTTTGAGTACTACTCTGCTTGATGTGAAAATTAATGACTCTGACATGGCATGATTAATTTGCGATCTGCACTATTATGAAGACTAGAAGCCGTCAAGAGCTTTCTTCCAAATTATGCGCGGGGGGGGGGGGGGGGGGGGGGGTTAGATGAAAGAGACTTCTCGAAGGGGATCTTGTTCCAAGTGATGACATCCCTTTGAGACGGGAGTGATTCAGAGCTTCTTATCGGTGGATGATTCATAGACACGAAGCATGTCCCCCCCGCTGCCACCGCCGAAGTGGGTCAGGAGGGGGTGCCCCCGGACCGAGTGCCTGTGTCTTCCCCCGACAGCTGAACTGTCACTCGCCTTGGGAAAAGCAAGAAGCCGTGACCTTCGACGGGAGGGTCTTCTTTCCGTTTCGCTCCTTGTCATTCCAGGACGCCGCGATCAAATCCCCAGAAAGAGCAGACCTCTTTCTTCATGCTCACACTCTGTAACCAAGTTCTTGATTAAGCTAGGAGCTTGAGCTGTGTCACAGTTGGACGTGAGCTTTGTGCATTGGAATTTTCTTTGGAAACTCAACTTCAGGTCTTTGTTCATATACTTATTGGAAAGTTACGACCGTGAAATGGCATGTTTGGGATTTTTCATGTGAGAACTTATTTAAAGTTGTGAAAAGTGAGTACCGGTATTATGATTCTATCACATTTCCTGTGCTGCCTGTGGGAGTTCTTTGCAAATTTTCAAACTTTTGTTTATAATTATTATCATTATTATTATTTATTCGGCAAAGACAAAGAAAACCAGTGAATACAAAACAAGAGTACATTTGGAAAAGAGTCACATGGATACCGGGACAAGAAAACGATTAACTGAATAACTACTGTATAACCTGAAGGTCTTCTTTTCCAATCCATGTGAATTTACAGCAATGATGATAATGATAATGATAATAACATTTGCAATTAATATAGATGTATCTCCTTTCCATTGGATACACTTCAAGTGCTTTGAGATGCCATCCACGATACAGTGCTAAAGTTACAATAGGAAATATTGAAAGGGGGATTAAAAGTTCTTTATTTTATCCCATTAGCTTTCCCGGAAGAAAAAATATCCTGTATATAATTGTAAATTTGGTGTACTTTTGTTTACAGATACATTTCTTGGTCTAAATCTCTAGCAAACAATGGAGTCAAAAACTGGTGTTTCAGAGTCAAAGAGCTTTTTTCAAAATTACAATGTGTACATGTTTTACCTTTAGCTAATCTTGTTAGTACAGACAATTTTGTAAAAACTGTGTCATCGTCATGTAAATTATTTATCGAGAATAGATGGAGAAATTCAATTTTTGACGATAAAAGGAAGAAAGCTCATGCTAAAAATAAACTTAAAACTTATCGAAATTTTAAACAATCTTTGAACACGTCAAAATATGTAATAGAATGTCAAAATAGATCAAACAGACGTGCTTTGGCTTTGTTTAGATGCGGTTGTGCCCCTATAGCTCTTGAAACTGGGCGTTATCAAAATGTCCCATATGAAGAAAGATACTGTGTTTTTTGTAATTCTAGTAACATAGAAGATGAGTTCCACTGTTTTATGATTTGTTCTGCATATAATGACATCAGATCACAACTTCTTTATGATATAATAGAACATGACCATACGTTTTCAGATCTTTCCACATACCAACAATTTATTTACCTAATTTCAGCTGACTCACTAAGCAGTTTAATAGCCAGTTTTGCAAACCAAATCCTAACAACTCGCCAAGAACTTTTGTACTACTTAAATGAATAAATTTTTTTTTTTTTTTCTTTTTTTTTTCCCTGTGATTGTAATTATGTTATACTTATATTTGTACTATGTTATCATGTCAAATTGTTTATGACTGTTATTTTTGATGTATCACTCATAGGCCTTTTTAGGCCGGCCGTCTGATGACGGGTGTGATTTTTTTAATAAAGAAATAAACTAAACTAAACTGTCTATGTAGGTATTGTAAAGCTGGTACTTAAAAATGCGCAGGGTGGGGGGGGGGGGGGGCTAGTTCAGGTATGGGGCGCCCAAAAAACGCTGTAGTTTTTCTGCTGAAATGAATGGCAAAAGTGTGCAACAAAGGACTTGTGCCTATTCATTGAGCTCTGTGTTATAAGATACAGATATGAAGCATATTACACTTTATGTCATAATAGAAAACCACTTCTATTTTGCTCTCTCTCTCTCTCTCTCTCTCTCTCTCTCTTTCTTTCTCTCTCTCTCTCTCTTTCTCTCTCTCTCTCTCTCTTTCTCTCTCTTCATTTGGGTCCCCACAAGACTCTTATTTCTCTATCACAATCAAATTATTTATCCTTCCTTCTCTATTTGTTTTTCTTTGCAGGCTCGAATTGCTGAAAAACAAAGGCCTAAAGTAGAATATTGTTTTGGTAAGTAAAACTTTCAGAGGTGGTTTATCCAGGAAATGAGGTCATTTCAGATATATATCTAGCTTCATTTAGAATTCAATATTTAGACATTTGAGGGTTCTTTCAAAATGTAATATTATAGACATCAAGATTACAATGTACATGGTGAAGTGTTTTATCTTAAGTGTAGTAGTTAAACTGGGAAGTTTTGAATGCACTCAGAACAAAAATAAATACCTAACATGCAACTTCTCTTTTAGCACGTTGATTGTGATGAGATATTCACATGAAACTTGACAATTTACTTTTAAAGAATTTAGTTCACATATAAACAATAATTTTTAAATATTTTTTAAATTTCTTTTTATAGATCAGAACTCTTCATACTAACCATTGAGGTTACTGTAGCATCCTAGTCTCAATGTATTTGCATACAATGATCAATTGTGTTTCTAAAATCATTCTATGAAAAGGACTGATGAGTATTAAATATCGTACTGCAGATAAAAACAAAGATATGGGTAGTATCTTAACTTCTTTAGGGCTTAATTGCTTATTAAAAAGCATTTATGCTTTTTTTAGCAGTCAGGTAAAATAACCACCACTAAACCACTACCCACACTAAAGTTTTAAACAATGTGATACATTAAAGTGGACAAAGTTGATTTCTTATTTTTCTTGGTTATAGTGTCATTTCATTCATTTTCAATCAAGTCATATTCAACTGAGGACTATTAATTTCATGATGGCTCTTAATCTTTACCGGTAATCGTATCAGGGCTGCTAGCTGACAGGGATTTTCCCCAGGTAGTTCCCTAGGTATTTCCCTACTCACCGCATAGTTTACAGACTCTATTTAGGCAGCATCAGAGCGTTGTATTTTGGAATTACCTGCCCATAACAACGCGTTATGCATCAAGAATTTCCATTGAAATAAACATTCCAGGACTTCCCCTAAACTTCACGGCCGCCTGTAGAGCTACCGGCGGGCCTACCCCCTTTCCAGCATTCAGCTTTGTCATCGGCACTTTCCTGTTGAAGCTATGCTTAGTGCATGATTCACTCTGGCCGAATGGGTTTGATTGCACACAAATCGAGAACGTCTATTATCACTTCTAAAAAATCAGACAAAAGAGTGACAAGCCAGAATATTTTGATGCGCCAGACGGTAAAATTCTTGATTCGTGATTTTTATATAGTTTGAACTTTGAATTCGATGTATTTAAGGAAATACTGAATCGTATTATGCTTCTGTTTAGGGCCAAAAAGACGTATGGATATAGACCTTCTCTTTCACATCATCTATGCATCCAAATTCAGTGACAGTGTTTAGTACCAGGGTTCCTTTTTGGGGAGGATCAGCTGTTATGGATCAAGTACAATTTTAGGATCTTTGAGCTGCAATATTCAACTTTACATTGGTTATAACTAGCTAGTTTTCCTTGCTGAAAACTCAATCAACTCCCAGATTACTTATTTAATATTTTGTGTGACAAACATATCCGTTGAGAGCCAGAAAAGTGGTATTTCTGTGTTGAATGATTTGAATTGATGCCTTCTGGCTTTCAGCAGATAATATAGAATTTAGGTGAGTTTGTAAAAGCTTTGATTCCTGAGTATCGTATTAATGTTGACATTGCATTTTAAGTTTGAGAAGATTTGTTTTTGTTTGTTTGTTGTTGTTGCTGTTGTTCTTTTTTTTTGGGGGGGGGGGGACTCAAATTTAGTCATTTTCTTCATACATGTAGATTTTAAATCAGCGGCTACCGTGTAAAAGGGTTCTTTTTCACAAGGATGGGTCTTCTGAGTATCTGAAGAGGAGTTTTTAAGCCACTGTGGGCTGTGCTTTGTAATTCTTTAATTCTTCATCAAGTTCAGAGGCTAAGGGAAGATTCAGTGTTTAAGATCCAGTTCTTCAATTCAATTTAATTCACTTCAATTTTATTTTTCCAAATTCAATAGATGGAAATGTTAAATGGGATTTTTTGTTTTGTTTACAAGTAATAAAATAAATGTAAATTCATAAAAACAGTAATAATTGAAATACATTAGTAATAATAGATAGGCATAGACATCAGAGTAAGATTACACAACCATGTACTTGTAGCATAATTAATGACATCAATAACAGATTATAAGTGTGAGAGGGATGCACAGAATTTAAAGCACTAGGAGAGTAAAAGGAGGGAGAGAGAGAGAGAGAGAGAGAGAGAGAGAGAGAGAGAGAGAGAGAGAGAGAGAGAGAGATAGAGAGAGTGAGAGAGGAAGAAGGACAGTAAGGGGGGGGGGGGAGAAGGGAATGAGTCAGAGGAATGGAAAGGATATTATTATATACAGTGTTTGTAGTTATATTCTAGCAATATCAGTCTGGTCCTATCCCAATTTTATAGTAAGCTATATTTTTTTGATACTTCTGTATGTGAAATTGAAGTTTATAATTGGTACTGTATACATCATTCATTTGGAATGGTTCTAACTACAATGCGAGAGAGAGAGAGAGAGAGAGAGAGAGAGAGAGAGAGAAATGGGTTACCGGTATGTGGTATTTGGTGTATTTGATGTACCTGTTTTTGTGGCAATCATGAAAAAAAAGACATAATTAACAGTAAATCATGTTTAAAAAGACTGACCAGGAGAGACACTAAAGTGGTCTTTATAGGCAGGTGGTCTTTATGTATAGTTTCATTTAAAATGTGTTTCAATGAGAAACACTGTTTTTAGGGAATCAGAAAATTTGATCTTTATACATGTGGACAGGTTGTCTTGCTATATACATGTACATGTAGGTGGTCACTACAACAGGTTGACTGTTCACGTAATACATTTAATGATTCATGCTTCATTAGATGACTGGAAGTTTATTCATGCAAGTCTATCTGTAGATCTCAATATCTGTGTTTAATATTTACAATGTACTATGAAAGGACACTGTAATCAAACTGCAATCACCTGAATTGGCTGGGTGCATGAGGACAAAGAAGGGAGTAATTTCACCGCTCCTCTGATTCTGATTGTGATTCATCATCACTCGCTCAGCCTGTCTAGATTGCGGTTTTAATTGTTCACACTTTTTAACCTTTATCGTTTGTTATGTCCGCATTCAGCCAATCTGCTGTTGGCAGGGCTTTCTTTTCTTTTTTATTCCACAGATATTTTGCCTTGTGAATGTTTTTAATATATTTTTTTTAAAGTTAAGTACTATTTCTCACTCTTAGACTGTTGTGAAAGATATTGAGCTGTTAGATTCGTCACATACATGTAATGTAGAAAAAACACCTCTCAAAAATGTATTACATTACTTTTGTAATCAACAAGGGAAAATTTATATTACTTCTACTTTGCACTACTTTGTAGGAATAAGTATGAAATCATATATTTTTTTTTAAATATACAGCGTAAGTTACAAAATGTCAACAAACATCTTACAAACTGTACTGAAACAGCAGTCTCTTTTTGAGAGCTCTGGTGGGCTAATCAAGCAATTCATACTACCAACCATAAAAGCAAACACAAAATTACATCACACTACATGTAGAAGTGATTTCAAAGAAGTGTTGTGATTATCAACCACATTGTGATATTCAATTACATTGTACTCTCTAAAAAAAATCGAGTGATCACGGACGTCACTCCTCTGGAGAGTGAAAATGTAGTGAAAATAGAGTGAACATTCACTCTTTTCTTCTTAGAGAGCACTCGAAAATCAATCGATTTTCACTCCTAAACAAGTGATCACGGACGTCACTCCCAAGAAAGTGAAAATAGAGTGAAAATTCACTCTTTTTTTTTAAAGAGAGTATCATAACCTTTTGGAAGAGTTTTACAATTTTATTTGTAAACGTTCAATAGTACATGTACCTGTAACAAGAGCTTTTATTTCCTGGGGCCAAAATATATACTTCTGTTCGAACATGTATGTTTTGAAGTACTAGTATTAGCTTTCTTTCATAATTTATTATGTCCTACATAATACAAATATAGATCAATGAAATGATTTTAATTTGTTGTTACCTGGGCAAGGGTACATTTTGTGATTGGCAGGTTGATTAAAATAGGAGGAAATGTGTATCCTGTTTTTCATTTATAAATAAATTTATAAAATGAATTCTTTGAGTTGATTGACAGTCAGAATTGAGACTAACTAAATTAAATATCAATCGAGTTTTGCAAATTTAAGTTGTACATTATACACATGTATGTGAGAGTGATCTTCAACGAAAATATTCTTTATACATTTTTTTTTTTTTTGTTTGGGGGGGGGGGGGAATTTGAATGAATTGCTTAATTAACACATACAATTTTTGTTTTGTACTTCAGTTGTGACGACATCAAAGCGAGAGTTCTACTTCCAGGCTGACAATCACAGAGACATGGAAGACTGGGTGAACAGAATCAACAATGCCAGCAAAATAACAGTGAGTGCATGGTGTTAGAATTCAGGGGGGTGTTTCACAAAGACTAAGATCGACTTTATTAAAGTTGGACTTAACTATGGCAGGCCGTTCATGCCACTGTTCGCTCTCACCATTTACTGGCGTTGGTCTCTCATGCGATGTACAAATCATGGTCACAAATCTACAGAATTTACATTTTTTTATTATTCATTATTGAAGGAAAAAAATATTGTCTAAAGATCATAACGGTGAGAGCAAACAGTGGCATGAATGGCCTGCCTAGTTAAGTCCAACTTAAAGTCAATCTTAGTCTTTGTGAAACACCCCCCTGGATTGGTAGAGAAAGGGGGAGGGTCAAGGAAGGGGAGAGGATGAGAAAGGGAGTTGGGAGGAGGAGGAGGAGGTAAGGGTGGTGGATTTTGCTGAAAATAACAATAGACTGTATGAACAAGATCATGTGGTGAGGGGTGGGGGAGGGTGGGGATATAAGGAAGGGGGTAAGGAAATGGGAAGGGGGGGGGGTAAGGAAGTGTAGACAAGATCAAGGAACGAGGAGGGGAGTGGAAAGGGAGGGGTAAGGAAGAGGGATGCTGCAGATGATCGTAGAGACCTGGGAGACTGGATGAACAAAATCAGCAATGCCAACAAATTAAAAGAGTGTTGTGATAGGGGGTGACGAAGGGGATGGGAGGGGGAGAGGATAAAGAAGAAGGGTGATGCTACTGATTGTTGTAGAGATATGAAGACTGGGTGATCACGATCAACAATGCCAGTAAAGCAACAGATTGATGAAGTAATGAGAGGAGGTTTGAGGAGGAGGGGGGGGGGGGGGGGGGGTTGGAGGCAAAAGGATAAGAAAGAGAGAGGGGGTGGGTAAGAAGGGGTATGTTACCAATAATCACAAAGACATGAAAGACTGGGTGAAGTAGAGTAATAATGCTTGCATACAATCAGTGAGTAGCATGGGTAGGGTGATGAATGGGAAATGGTGAGGGGTGGAGAAAGGGGAAGCGGGGGTCAAGAAGATTTTGATGGAGAAGATGGGATATTACATATGATCACAGGAGGTCTGTCTTCATCAGCTTGAGTTTGCCAAACAACCTGCTATTTTAATTATCCTGATTGCAAATTAACCAGTTAATTTGCGTCTTCATCAGCCTGCAGTTGCAATTAGCGGGATATTTGGTTGAGAAAATATCCTGAGAAATCTGGGTCTTGTTTCCATAATATCAACTAGTTTGTTCCGGCCGAGCTAGTTTGTGATGAGTGTATCAGTCTGGTAAAGATGCAATTTCGAGCTTCGGGATAATATCCCGAGTATGAAAGTAGCATGTTATTTGCCAAACTCAAGCTGATGATGACAGGCCTAGAGACGTAGAAGACTGTGTGTAAGGATCAAGAGTAGGAAAGTGTAGAGCAAATGACACAGTTATAGGGAAGGCAAGATGCTTTGGATTCTCAAATGTTCACTACTGCTCCAAAGACATCCCTCCCTCTTCTTCCATCCCCTCAGGTACCATCATCAGTAGTTCCAGGAGGCACCCTTCCTCTAGGGGACAAGAATGGGGGCGATGCGAGGGCGGTCAGTTACAAGACCGAGGTCGTCGGTGGAGTGGTCATCAGGACGCCGGTCCAGGTGAGTGGGTCAGAGCATGATGGTGTATGTGACTGCCTCCATTCCTAACCCTGCCTCTTTGACCCGAGGTACCAAATAGACCATTTTTAAAATGGACCAGGGGGTGTTTCACAAAGATCCTAAGTTGAACTTATCTCAAAGTTGGACTTAACAATTATGGAAAGCCTTTAGCATCTATGAAAATATTTGTTTAAAGTTATTTTAAAAGGCATAAAATGGTAATTCAAATCATTTATATTTTCTATTGTCAACAACATTTCATGTTCTTGATGTGGAATTTAAAAAAAAGTCTAAAATACTTGATTTTTTTGCTTTTTAATATATTTTATTTTAAGGCTACAAATGGCTCTCCATAAATTTTATGTCCAACTGAGAGTTAAGTTTGACTTACGATCTTTGTGAAACACCCCCAGTATTCAAATTAATAAACATTTATAAATCTAGCCCCAAGCTTTCACATTCACTTGTTAGATATAAGTTATTGTATTTCAGTAGTGGTTACTAGACCAAGGCAGAAACCAAGAAGCAACTGGGAGGAGAACATTAAGGCCTGGAGTGAAATAACACTGATTTACCGGAAGTGAATAAACCTCTTTCTCTTCTACCGTAACAATTTCCAGGAATACAGATGAAGATCAAACTTGAACATGATTTTCAAAGGAAACATTGTATTTGAAGTTAATGTACACATAACTTGCCGGTCTAAAAGTGAAACTGAATCAGTAGTTTTCCTTTTATGTAAACTTCAAGTCATCTAAAGTCAAATATTGGATTCATGTTTACCGTATAAGTATATTAATGTGTTCAGCAAAATTTGGACCATTCAGAATAGAGATTGCTTTTGTTAAAGGCTGAATTTGCTTGATAATTTATGATTGATCATTCAGATTCCCATGACAAGTTTCAGATTACAGTCATCATAAAGTTCAAACAGTTTCAGATTTCAATTATAACTCAACATCATGGAATACAATCATCAGTGAAGTCCAAAACACTTCAAGCATATTCTTGTTGTTCTTGTCCTTAGTTTCATTCTCAAAGATCCTTTGTTCACAGATAACCATATATACATTGTACATGTAGCGCTGCTAAGAACAGCACAAGTCCTTTCATTGTCTTCAGCGGTCATTGGCCCAAACCGCGACACATACATCATCTGACGTACATGCCGTTTCCCATCATGCACCTGAATTTAATGTATTTCCTGTTGGATCCATTGGCCTCTTTCCTGGAAACTGCACTCTTTTCACAATGATAGTCCTTGCTATAATTGATCACTGTTATATAATTGCATTAGGTCCGTATATAGAAATCGAAAAAGGTTGGACTATAACCTCTGTTGCTTCAGTCGTGTCATAGCTTTTACAGGTGTTCTTTGTCTGTTGGTCTCTTCTACTCTCCTACTCTCCTACATGTGTTACAAACAAGTGAACTCCTTTTCCAACTTTTTGAACTTCTTCTCCCCTTGACTGGACTAGTTGCTTCTGTACTAGACCGAATTTTCTGTCTCTTTCGTTCGTTAAGCCTCTTATTTGGGTAGGGTCGGCTCTCTCTTTAGAGACGGAAGCCGACTATACGCATTCCCTTGCTATATTTTTATGCCCCGAAAATCCCCCCAAATGTCATTTTACCTCGTACATGTTATATTGTAAATTAGGCCTAGGCTATAATAAATCGGTTCTACTTACCAACTTGACTGAAATAATCTGTTTAATGGTCCCTTTTTAGGAAATTATGGGTCAAAATCGAAAAATCCATGTCTTGCAAGATTTTCAACATGGACTTCGATTTTGACCCATTAAATTTCCTAAAAAGGGACCATTAAACAGATTATTTCTGTCAAGTTGGTAAGTGGAACCGATTTATTATAGCCTAGGCCTAATTTACAATATAACATGCACGAGGTAAAATGACATTTGGGGGGATTTCCGGGGTATAAAAATATGGCCATAAATGGCCATGGTGTTAGCAAGGGAATGCGTATAGTCGGCTTCCGTCTCTAAAGAGAGAGCCGACCCTACCCAAATAAGAGGCGTAACGAACGAAAGAGACGGAAAATTTGGTCTACTTCTGTACATGCTGTAGATTGGATGGCATTTTAATAATCATTGTGTCCTTATGGTGATAGTTCTATTTTGTTGTGGAAGTTCTTGCTTCCGTCAATAAATTGGAATGCATTTTAATGTTTTATACATAAAGAGGTTCCTCTCATACCCCTTTCATAGTCCTTCTATCGGAGTCACACCGATGAAAATACCGATAGAATTTTCCTTATGTAAACAAAGGTGAAACCAGCGCTTTCCCTGCTGTCCGATTCCTACTGCTGAAAGTTCAATTTTGCCCAATGTGGAAACGCTATAGAATAAACATGGAACAATGGTTTATAAATTTGGTTGCATCAAACTCTTACTGATGGATATTAACAAATCAGCATTGGATTTGAGTATGATAAAGTCTCTTTACAGTTTACATTCTGGAAATAATTAGCACAGACTTCCAAACATTGAAATGAACTTGTAGCTAGACTCAATGGGTCGCACATGGCTCTAAATATTTTGATGTGCTTTGGCCAAGTACATGTGGTTGTGTGGGAAAGCAATTAGTGAGTCATTCCTGTACAAAGTCCATCAATATTTCCAAACATTGTCTGTTTCTTATTACAGATCGCCCTTTGACCCTAATCAACTTGAACACCAGACAATCACTCTGTTTAATTTATTTTGATTTGAAAAAGAAAAAAAATATTGTAGGTTATTTAGATCAAGAAGTAGACAATCTTTTTTTTTAATGCTTGTAATAATATTAATGAGAAAAGAACAACTTTTTCTATGACAAGATATAATCCCTTGACAACTGGTACAACTTATCACAATTTTTAGAATTTTCTTGCCCTGGATATCGCAGTTGTTTTAATACAACATGTGAAAGTTTTATATCACACAGTAGTAGGTTGTTTTACAGTATTGTTTATGCTTTGTTCCCCCAATCATGGGACCTGTCACCTCTCCCTCCCCCTTAACCCCCCCCCCCCCCTTGGTATTTAAAAAAAATTGTGTGTGAGGCTAATTTAATCAAATCACAGCTGACACAATGTTCTCTGTAGGTTTCCGTGGAGAGTGAGTATTTGCAAATTGAGGCTTTTGATAACACCATGCGGTAGCCTTACTGAAATGGTGTTTATATTATTCTTTCGTCAAGAGTCCTGACTTATGGGGCATCTGGAGGAATTACGGTATTACGTTTTTTCTTCATAAAATATGTTTTTTATAATTTTTTACAATTTTTTTTTTTTTTTTTTTTTTTTTTTTACACACCACACGTCAAGCAACTGCCCTAAAATGGTGATTTGATCACAAATTCAATAGAAACCTAATTTTAAAACATACTGAAGAGAAAAATATTCCCAAAAAGAATGAAATGCCGATAATACCAAAATAACCAAAACAAAAAAAACCTACTTGTATGTAAAAAAACAGCATGAGGAATAAACATTTCTGCATTGGAAGTGTGTCGCGCGTGGTTGTAAGTTTCGTTTTTATTAATTCCTTTTTTTTTGCCATCATGATTCCTTTTTTTGGTCGCACAAGGTTGGCAGCTCTGTACACACCCAAATGTGACAAAAGTTTGAATTATTGCAGTTTGCAGAGTTTCTTGCTTTATGAATGACAGCCACTACAGCCATTCATAAAAAATCATAAAAAGTCATGAAAGTTGAGGTTTTTCTAGTTTTTTGTATGTTGTGTTCTCCCATAATCACCCCCCCCCCCCCTCACCGCTATGAATTTAGCACATGACTAATCGGACAGACGTGGGGAAATCAGCCGGTTGCTAGGTGATGCGGTGGGTTCTGTTTAACAAGATTTGTGCGTATATCCTGTATTGCGCTGCTTTAACTTGAGATCAGGAACAAAGAAATACATCATCTTGCGCTCGGAACCATTAAAGGTACTCACAAAAATTTTCTAGCAATATGAAATTTTGGGGATTCCGAGATGCTTTGATAATCAGATGGAGAATTTCGAGCAAATTGATCATCGATGATTGATTCAGATGATTAATCTACCTCTTCTGTTTTTGTCATTTTTGTTGTTGTTGTTTTATTCAAAAGAGTTTATGAAATCCGTAAAGAACAAAAAAGTTATACATCCTCTTCAATGTTTTAGATGAGGTTTTTTTTTCTCCGCCATACGTAACATTTTGGAGGTTTGGACATAATTTTGCACCATATCCCAAACTTAGGTTAAAGCCTATCTGCACTAGTTTGGCCTGGAGGGATTAGACCTCCCTGCATGGTCACTGACAGGTGGTCATCTCATCAAATCAGCTCTCAATCAACATAAGAAAAAGAAGACCATGGGGGACCAATGGTTACCGATTAGGCATTGTTTGCCATGTAGAGGGCGCAAGTAGCTATAACTAGTGCAGTGGGGCTTTAAACAATTATTACCCTGTCATGCAAGACCTGTTTTTTATCTGGTAAGGATTTTTTTCTCTATTTTATAATACTAAATAGATGTTTTTGCACTTCCAGTTCAGCTGATACTTTAGGGGAAGCCCTGACACATGGATATAGCCTGTAATGAGAACATTTGCCCACTGTTGTACATTTCCTAATATTAATCAGTTAATTATTCATATCCAGGACAATATTTTCCCTGAGATACTGGTGCAGCTTGTTTAAAAAACAATCAATCTTCATTACTAGTGTACTGCTGATACAGCCATTAAAACACTTATGGAGGCACAATGTTGCAAGTTCAACCATATATACAGAAAAATAATTTTATTGATTTGATAATAACTCCATGTATCTCTTGTATAAAGGCATTAGTAAGCACTTCAATTGCTTTTAAAATGTTAGGTCGTTGAACATATTCACTTTTATATCACTTTTTATTTCCCCTTCTCTCGGTTTCATACCCATTCTCCCCAGCAAAGCTTAAGTAGGACGCAGGTCGTTAATGTTCGGCAGACCTCATTTTGGTGGAAGTTTCATTTTCCATGGCGATTCTACTTTGAATTCCGCAAGGTCGTCAGCCCGTGTCACATGACGGTCGGAGCTAACGGCCGCAAGAATAAGAACAACGACAAGCAGAAGGACTCGAAAATGCAGAAAGTAATTTTTGAAGAAAAAAAGAAGAAATAATCTGGGAAGGGAATGCCAGTCATGTAACCCTCTAACAGTTACAGAAAGTAAAGATATATTGCAAAGTATTAGACAAACCTGTCTATAAAGGCCATCAAAGATATAGATGCAAAGTGACCATTATGTACAGGTTTTACCTGTATCAAGTCTAATGATAGGCCCTTGTAGGTAGGAGGATGTTAGGTAGAAGTTGCTGTTAAAGCCCCTCTAAAGTGTTGGGAGTCTCAAATATTTGATGGCAAAGTTTCACTTGAATTGTATAAATATGTGAAAGAGGATGTCATTTAACACACACTTCTGCAAGGATTTTAAAAATATATACATTTTAAGGCCAATATTTGATGAAAGAATACTAAATTTTAGTTTTCTGCTGTACGCGGAAATCCCAGATACTTGTATTCTTTCATCAATATTCATCTTCAAACACATTTGTTTAAAAATTCCTTGCAGATATTTGTGTTACATGACGTCCTCTTTCACATCATTATCTAGAACTTAAGTGAAAGTTTGCCATCAAATTATTGAGGCTCCGAACACTTTAGAGGGGCTTTAAGTTGGCTTTTGAGAATTGTACTTATTGAAAGTCATAGTGATTTTTTCCATTTAGTAGTTTATGGCAATCAGATCAATAATTTCAGAAGCATGAGGTCTTTGAACATCTTTAGGAAACAAGAAAAGTGATAGTCATGCAGTCATTCACACTAGATTAAAAGTGAACTCATCAAAAAAGTCATTGTAGGATCCATTTAAATGGTATCAGAACAAATATACTTCACAGTGCCTCAAATTTGCCTGAAATCATAGGATTCTTTAGGGAAGGTATTCAATAAGAGATACATTGAATAAGATGACTGAGATTCACATAAAAATGAATTCTAAGCCTAAAACAAATAGCTGTACACACAACTGTAAAATTTGGGGAAATTGTTTATTTTTATTTTTATGGACTTTCCCGCTAAGCTAGTGCTAGAGGGATGTCACATGACTGGTTTTCCATCTCCGATCATTGAAGATAATTTGAGATCTTGGTACTGCATCTTGTGCATCTTGACATGGCTGTTGCTCCTGCCTAACAGATACAAAGATTAAAGGCTGAAAAATAAAATTTGCTATAATTATTGACTGAATGACTTCATTATATTTTTTCCACTGTACTTCATCCTTTTTCTTATAACTTCTTTTGGTATTGACATTTCTATATACTTTTATGATCAATTTATTCTGATAAGATCTAATTTGAAATTTATCATTAATTCCTTTGGCCTTGACTTTTATTAATTGAAGAATTTCAATATTTTATATTTCCATTGATTTTGAATGGCTAAAATGAAAATAACACTTTAATTAATCAAGTGTAAAAATCAAGTGTCCATAAAAAGGCAGAATTAAAGCAGGTTCTCAGTTGATGCAAGTTGTACATGTACAAATGTGTAAATGTATAAATAAATAAAAGGTATTTTGTAGGGTATATGAACTAACAGGACCTGGGTTCGTAAAAAAGCTGATGTGGTTGTACCCTTTGGTGAATGTTCCTATGATAGGACATAAATCCATGGCCCCTTTCTGGGCCCTACTTTAAAACCTTAATGGAACACCGTATCTGCGGTATACCCTTCACTGTGTATTTTCAAGGTCAGAATTTTGACAACCCCCTTCCACCCACCTACAACACATTTGATATATTTTTAATCCAGAGTGCTTCCACAAAACTTTCAGTTGAAGTTTAGTAAGATAATTAAATCAATCAATGATTCACGAAAGTGTTCATTAATCACAATGCAACATTCCTGAAGTTGACAAAATAGCCAGATTCATCAAGAACCTACAATTTATCTTCATCTGAAACTAAAAACCACATATGAATCAATAAAAAGTCCACATTCAAGTATGGTACTAGTAGTTAAAATAAAGCATTAACTAGGTGATTAATAATTGATTCTTGAGATTATTGTCCTTTTGGAGCCAGAAGGGCGCTAAAGCTAATCACTGAGCTCTGGTATGGGAATCGTATTTTGAAAGAAAATTGCTATGTTTTATTCTGGATTGTTTATCCTGCAATAGATTGGTTGTTTGAACCAGCGAAACAAAAAACAACCCCAAAACCAGAACTCCCATTTGCACATAGTGACCTGTGTAGGCTGTGTTTTTAAGCTCATGGTGTTTGGGCGTTCTTACCTTGATTTCCTTATCTTTCTATGCTTGTTTCTCAGTAACTATACATTTTCTACCAAAATTGTTTGGCACATGTCATTTATTTGTAATTTTGAACATTCAGTGTAAGTTTTGTTGGATTCTGTGAGAAATTATTTTCTATATTTACCATGCAGAACTCAAGTTTATTTTTAACTGTCCCTCAAGAAGAGTTCTGTATGTTAACTCTCAACTGGTAACTCTTTTGCAAAGAGTTTGTGCCCTTCTGACACTGAACAGACAATATTATATTTTATGTTTCGTCAGAGTCAAGTGATCTAATTGTTTGTAGATGGTCAGCTGTATGTGTACTGGTAGCCCTCAGGATAGATAGACAGTTGCGTCAAACTCTGCGTAATTCTTGAAGGACATTTCCTTTATCATAGAAGGGCAGTTGAATTAATGTAGTTGCGTCCTTGTACATCCTGCTGGTGACGGAAGTTGTTGCAAGTCTGTGAAGGAAAGAAGCTTCCCCTGTGTCAATGTCCACTCTGGTCTGTGTTGCCAATTGATCCACCCGGCCGCCCACGCAGTTTAGAGATTTGTAAGATTGATAGTCGTGCGTGCTGGACCTTCCCTGACAACTGACATCCGACATGATTTGCTGTTGTTAAGGACTGGATTTTCTTGGATTTTTCTGTCATTGTGCCCCCAATTGGATAGTTTGGGGAAAAGCGTCTACTCTTGAGGATTTACGAAACATTTTCAAGGTGATTCTTTCAACTGTTTCCTCAAAGACACTAGCAAGAATAGAGTCCCAGGAGATTTAAGTACATTTTGGCTGCTCCTTCAGATATGCCTTTATTGACAGATGGCAGGAAAGTGCAAAGGATTCATTGAGATAGAAGATTAACGATGCTGTACTATTTCCTTCGATACATGCACATTGTGTTTTAGCTTGTTTTGGTAAGCTGCAGCTGCAATATAAATGTGATACAATGTTTAAAGGGTTTTTCCCCCTAATATGTTTTGTTTGAGAGCTTGACGGGTGTTAACTTTATGTGAAAGTATGTTAATTAAAGGGATCCGGTAACTTTGTCTTAGATCCTTTAGAAATAATCCTTGATTTAGCTCATGCTGCAATGATAATTATAAACCTTTAGGTCAGTCAGGAACTCCATGACTTTTACAAGCCGATCGCCTGTCTGATTATCAAGATATTAATGATTGGAATAACAAATTTTGAAAACCGTTCGCCTGACGGTTTTCATAACACTACAGTCTATTGGGGAAAACGAGTATGGTAAAACCGGTCACTCAAAGATTTTAACTTTTTTGAGGCACTTCTTCATCATTTTGAAGCGCGATTTTTTTTAGGGCTTCAATATTACACCATATCACAGACACTGGTAAGATATAGGACCGTGTATCTCAGATTTAACATTGTTAAACGATCCCTTTAATGCTACTCTGGTTTCAAAACAATATAAGTGCAGCCTAGAAAGTATTCATTTTCAAAGCAAGAAAATTGTGCCTGGCAAAGAAGCATGATCACATGGCTTGGTCACATCTTCAAATTTTTTGTTAGAGGTATTTGAAGGCCAGGATTTAGGAGTGATAAAGAGATATCACTTTTGAAAATTTCATAAAGTGTGTTGTGTAAATCTGCTGCAAATCAGAACAATATGTGTGTAAGAAAATCATAGATTTGTTTATCAATTCTTTAAAGGGATCCAGTAACTTTGTCTTAGATCCTTTAGAAATAACCCTTGATTTAGCTCATGCTGCAATGATAATTATAAACCTTTAGGTCAGTCAGGAACTCCATGACTTTTACAAGCCGATCGCCTGTCTAATTATCAAGATATTAATGATTGGAATTACAAATTTTGAAAACCGTTCGCCGAACGTTTTTCATAACACTACAGTCTATTGGGGAAAACGAGTATGGTAAAACCGGTCACTCAAAGGTTTTTTAATTTTTTTGAGGCACTTCTTGATCATTTTGAAGCGCGATTTTTTTTTAGGGCTTCAATATTACACCATATCACAGACACTGGTAACATGTAGGACCGTGTATCTCAGATTTAACATTGTTAAACGATCCCTTTAATACGGATTCACAATTTTCTAGCTTCCCAGTAATCAAACAATAATGGAATTTAAAAATGGCTATTTCTAGATTCGTACTGTGCTTCGGTTGATTAAGCATAGCATTGACTTGCTTGTTAAATATGAGGCCTGCAATGATGCACTAGAGCCATGTGAACTTAATTATAACAATGTCCTGTGGTAATAATGTTAGGAAATTCTATAATTGCTTCTATTATTAGTAGATCATTGAACGCTGTCTGTTAGCCATCAAAAGGAACACTCCCCTTTTTCTTTTATGAAAGAAACTATGGAGTAAAAAAATGTCCATGTAGGAATACTGCCTGGTATTTTAGAAGTATTTTCCCTTTAGGACAATTCAATTGTTAAAATGGCTACTTCTAGAATTGTGCTGTGCTTTAATTTAAGGACTACTGCATGGTATATCTCTCTTTTCCCCCTTTTTTCACTATCACCCAAAAATACAAAAAAATACAAAATCATTGTGGTAGAGTACACTGTAGTTGCATTTTCTCATCTTTAATCCTTTTTATGCCTCCGTTACGAAGTAGCCGGAGGCATTATGTTTTCGGGTTGTCCGTCCGTCCGTCCGTCTGTACGTACGTACGTCTGTACGTACGTACGTCTGTACGTACGTACGTACCTGTACGTACGTCCCGTTCTCGTGATCGCGTTATCTGAAGAACTGATTGATGGATTCCTGCCAAACTTTGGTCATGTATGTATCTTGCAGAGCCGATGAACTGATTAGATTTTGGGGTTACGAGGTCAAAGGTCAAAGGTCACAGGGCTCATTATGTATGCAAAAACAGCTCGTGATCGCGTTATCTGAAGAACCGATTGATGGATTCCTGCCAAACTTTGGTCATGTATGTTACTTGCAGAGTCAAAGAACTGATTAGATTTTGGGGTCATGAGGTTAAAGGTCAAAGGTCACAGGGCTCATTATGTATGCAAAAATAGCTCGTGATCGCGTTATCTCAAGAACCGAGTGATGGATTGCTGCCAAACTTAGGTCATGTATGTTACTTGCAGAACCGATGAAGTGATTAGATTTTGGGGTCACGAGGTCAAAGGTCAAAGGCCACAGCGCACATTATGTATGCAAAAACAGCTCGTGATTGCATTATCTCAAGAACCGATTGATCGATTGCTGCTAAACTTAGGTCATGTATGTTACTTGCAGAGCAGATGAACTGATTAGATTTTGGGGTCACGAGGTCAAAGGTCAAAGGCCACAACGCACATTATGTATGCAAAAACAGCTCGTGATCGCGTTCTCAAGAACCGATTGATGGATTCCTGCCAAAATTAGGTCATGTATGTTACTTGCAGAGCCAATGAACTGAGTAGATTCTTGGTTCATAAGGTCAAAGGTCATGGGCTCATTATGTATGCAGAAATAGCTTGTGAACACATTCTCATTAGAACTGACAGATGGATTACTATTTAACTCAGGACATCTTGCAGAGCCAATGAACTGAGTAGATTTTAGGGTCATGAGGTCAAAGATCAATGAGAAATTGCTTGTAATCACGATATTCTGAGAACCTGTTAATGGATTACAATTGAACTTGAATTCGAAAAATGTGTTCTGTTTTGGTTTGTAAAATTGCTCTGTGACGGAGGCATCATTTTCGACTGCGCGCAGTCGAATTCCATCTAGTTTGTCATGTTTCGATTGCCTTTAGTGATTTTTATTCATTCCTCTAATGCCCCCTTAGAAGTTTCTATTTTGAAATAAAACAAAGAATTCAATGTGTGCATGCAATGTACAAAACCAGTTGCGTGTCTTCTGTCAGTGGGGGCGTAGAGGATATACAGAAGTGACTATGAGTAGCCTGTGGTCATTCGCGAAAGTTATGACTCGCAAACATGGCTTTGGGTCTCTGATACGCAAAATATATATCTGTATTAAAGCAAATATTTTGGCTTATACAGGAGCATACCCAAAAGCTTTCAAGTATGCATTATCCTTGCTATTAACAAATCTGATGTAAGATATGTGAGAGAAGCATCATGTATGGATGTAGAGTCCTAATTTTAGAAGAGTCCTAATTTTAGAAGATTCTTATTTCTAACTTTTTTCATGCGTCCAGTGGGATGAAAAGAATATCATCAAGAATCATTTGGAATCATTAGTCAAGGTAAGATTGGGTTTGATGCTATGGAGTGGTAGTTCAAGAGAGAAAATATCCGCAACATTTCGCATCAGTTCGCATCAGCCTGCGCTTGTCCGTATTGATCCAGGCACCTGGAGCAAGACCAAGACCTGGTATCTCATTTGTAGACTAGATGTGCTCTCTATATGGGCATGTAACCTTTAACCAGATCAGAGACATCCCAATAGACTAATAGCCCACAAGACCAACAAAGTCGTCTTCGTGAACCCTCGTAACTTAAGTTGTCAGGGGCCCACAGCACCAAGATATTGGTACTGTGGGCCATTGGTATCATGAAAACACAGATAACTTTTAGAAGGCCTGCAAGGTCGACAGTGTTAGTTTTATAGGCTGTTGGTCTGATGGGTATGCTAGATCAGAGATATCCCAATAGACCCGCAGTCCACAAGACCGACATTGTTGGTCTCATAAACTCTCATTAAAGTTGCAAGAAGGACCACAAGACTTGCATGTTATTTTCATGAGTCATCGGTTTCATGAACCCTCCAATAAATTTTCAGAAGGCCTGCAAGGTTGAAAGTGTCCGTTTTGTAGGCTGTTGGTAAATTGTTAGCCGTAGGTCTCATAGGCTGTCGGTCTTGAATGTCAGTCTCTCGTACTATGGCCAAATAGGTCTCTACCAAAGAGTTGGATGGCGCTAAGCTCTGTGATATATCCTTGATCATGCAGCTCTGCATCCATTTTGGGGAGATCAACAACCCATGGGCATGCTTCTTACTCAAGTTTTCATGACAGGAATTCACAAGACAATAATTAAATTTCATCATGCATATATCTTTTATCTAAAAATTCTAATGCATATAAAACACACTTGTAAGGTGCATAAAATGTTCTAAATCCAATTTAAAATTACCATAGCGACGTCTTAAGCCTTCAGAACTTAAAGGGAATTATGCATTTGACCATCTGATTAAAAAATAAAATTCAACTCTAATGTAGTTTTGAATTAACTGATTGAGTTATTGAACCTTCTTGTTGGATTTCAAGGCAATTGAATGACATGAAATTTACATAAATTAATTATTATTCACCAAATTTTGTATGAGCCGCAGAAAAATACATGTTGTTCTTAAATATGACTCCTTTAAATGATACACTTTTGAAAATAACTATACAGGTATATTAACTACCGGTACACATTCACCAAGGCATTTTGAAAAGAAAAAAAATCAAAGTATTTTGAAAAATAGTAAAACTAAGATATACTTTAACTTGGGGGTTGAATAAAAGGAAAAGAAATTTTAAATAAAGGAAAATGAGACTGAACACTGCCCTCGACAAAGTGAGGAAAATGCCACAGCCACCAACTTTTTTTTCTTTCCGTATGAACACCAACTCATATGAACACCAACATTTCTATTCCACTTTATCGTCATGTATAATCTTGGTCTCTCTCTCTCTCTCTCTCTCTTTCCCTCTCTTTTTTCTTTCTTTCTTTCTTTCTCTCTCTCTCTCTCTCTCTCTCTCTCTTTCCCTCTCTCTCTCTTTCTCTCTCTCTCTCTCTCCCTCTCTCTCTCCCTCCCCCTCTATCTCTTTCTCTCTCTCTCTCTCCCTTTCTCACATTCTATCAAGTGGTTTTACATGTTAGGTTTCCACCATTGTGATTTAGTTTTGGTTACTGAAGAGTTTGAAATTTGTTGTGTCTGTTCGAAAAGAAGTAATACATGCATTACAAAATTTGTCTGGTATTTTGTTGTTCTGCATGTGCTTGTAACAGCATGGGCATTGTGTTTGTCATGAACAGATATGGGTTTTTCTATTAGGTGATAAACTGGTGAGCTTATGTGTTGATAAAACCTGGAAACCTGTTTTGGAAGAAACAAAAAATGTATGTTTTCAAATTGTTTCTGATTTTGTATTCAGTAAATATATAAATATTAATTTCTCAGCCTGTAAAGATGAGCAGGTTGATATACCCCATCTGCCCCCCTCCTGGTTCCCCCTCCCCCTGGCCCTGCTAACAGGTTGGAAAATCCCTAAGTTCTCACAATTCGAGGTACCAAGCATAACATGACCAAAACTAGCTTTTTTCTAGGAGAAGGAAAGAAGAAAAAGAAAAAATGTATACCTAGATTTATTTCCACGGCAACCACAATCCCTCATGACGCAGATTTCAGTTTCTTCCATACGAGATCATGAGTCATGTGCTGCGGTTGTCGTCCAAAAACTTTACGAGCGCTGGCAATAAAACCTAACCAATGATTTCAATTGGTGTAGTAAGATATTTGGGGAGTACCCCCCAACACTAGTTCTGCTAAAATTCATGAGAACAAACATTTCTTTGTTCTTTAGGGCTTGCCTTTTTTACCATATATGGTGTTGGGGCATGCACTTGGGGGCAGTTCAACTTTCGGTAAACTCTCGTTAGGACTTACTTCTGTAGAATGTGTTCAAGATTATGACATACATCAAAAATATTTGACCGACTGCCAAAAGTGCACATATTTTGATTTACTCTGGCAAATTTTGTTAGCATACTTTGTATTCAGTTCATGACAAAGTTTGGACAATTTGAAACCCTCCACATTTTCTTTTTCTTTAAAAAAAAAAGAAGTAGAATTACAACCTAACAGTGGTTTTAGATGTGATTCTTGATTTCATTATATACTAATATGTCATAGAATTTTACCCATTAATGTGGGCACTAATTACTTGATTTTAATGAAAATATGAATACCGGTCCCTCTTTTTTTCCAGTTCCATTACCTTAGTGCATTTTGCAAATCATGAATGGGGGTTAAAAAAACAAAATTTGTATCATTATTTGCTCTTCTTTATAAACAATCAGATGAGTCCATTACTTTCTTATCAGTTTTGTTTTTATCACTTTAAATTAGAATGGAATTACTTTTCTCCTTGTTTCTCCAATGTTTTATTTTCTTCTTGCATGAATGTGGGTATTTGGGTATCTTGCCTTTGTGCATGCACGCATCTTTTGGGGTCAAATTTAAACATTGTACATTTTCCGATATATCATTATTATTTTTATTTTTTTGTGCAATATGCGATCACAAAGAAATTTGGAGTAAAAAAAAAAACACTTCATTGTTGACAATATTTTGTGAGCCCACGTATATATATTCATAGGTGATGGAATATACATTATGTACATTTGTGTCAATAACTTTCTCATTCTTAATGACCTTTGACCTTGACAGCCAGGAGCTCAACTCAGCGGTGAGAGCGAAAGTGACGAGGAGGTCAACGTCTACACGCGGGAAGCACCGTCGTCGGAGAGTTCACCCAAGCACGTGGCCGGTTCGATGGACAAGACAGCGGCACGACTCTTTCCCGGAAGGAATATCATCGAGTCCGGATGGTGTGTGAAGCAAGGCGCAGTGGTAAGGAGGCAGGGGTATCCAGTGTAGATTGAATGGGATTATCTTGGCTCATTCACATCTTGTATTAAAACTTAATTCTTTTGTTTTGAGCTGGGATGATGCATGAAGAAAGGCGCAGTGATAAGGATTCAGGGGTATTCAGTGTAGATAGAATAGGATTATCAGGGCTCATTCACACCTTGTTAACCTAGCATAGCTTAGCATAGCCGGGTAATGTTGGAGCGCCTTGAGGACCTTGCAAGGTCAATACGTGCGCTATATAAGAATTCAATATTATTATTTTTATTATACACTTAATTCTTTTGTTTTGAGCTGGGATGATGCATGGGGAAAGATGTAATGGTGAGGTTAGGCACAAATATGTAATACAGATTGAATCGGATTTAGGAGGCCTTTTCACACTCTATTGGGATTCTCATGGGCTAATTCACACTACAATGTAATCCTGTGAGGTGAAAATGACATGGCATGCAAAGCAATGAGGCTTTACCAGGGTCATGTTTCATAAAACTTGTTGTCAATAACAAGTAACAATAATAATAATATTAATACATAAGATTTATAAGGCGCCAAATCCACTTAACAGTCAAATGCTCAAGGCGCAGCTTGTGCAAAAGATGAAATACATGATACATAATATATACAAAAGTGCGATATAGGAAAGGTACAGACATGAAAGGTTATGGTAATCAATTATAAGCTAAATCAAACAGATATTTCTTAAGATTGTTTTTTAACACTTCAGCAGAACTGCTTTCTTAATCCATTGAGGGAGAGTATTCCTTTGATTGGCTGAGAGCAAATTTGTCATAGAAATGTAGCACTTTTTATTGATAACAAGTTTTATGAAACAGGGCTCAGAACAAGATGATTTTTATGTTCCCCTCAAAAGTCTAGTCTGTCATTAATCCTCCTTTCGGAAAACACAATGTGCAAGTCAGAGCAACCAGGAAGTGAGAAAATTATGGCCTAATTAAACCGAATCAATCCCTATGAAGATGTTCACACCCGGCCCTGTCATTGATTCAGTTGGAACATTTATTGCATTAGACCAGGGGAGTGTTCCACAAAGGCGAAGATGGACTTTAAGTTGGACTTTACTATGGCAGGCCGCTCATGCCACTGTTCGCTCTCACCATTTACTGGCGTTGGTCTCTCAAGGAACGTACAGTTCATGGTCACAAATATACAGAACTTTCATATTTTTATAGTTCATTATTGAAGGAAAAATATTATCTAAAGATCATTAGGGTGAGAGCAACCAGTGGCACGAATGGCCTACCATAGTTTAGTCCAACTTAAAGTCGATCTTAGTCTTTGTGAAACACTCCCCAGTATTTATGTAGCAGAAGTGACTCGGCACATCACTTGAGTAAGTTCAGCTTGTCTGTTGAAATTCAAAATTAGGATCATCTTTGATCACTTAACAGACTTTTCGCCTGGCGACATTTGCTCTGGGCTTTATTTTGTCAAATGTAAAGCGTTAGGGTTAAAGATGAAGTTGAGTTCTGGTCATGCGATTGCATTGTGAAAGAAACGGTGTGGAACCGACCAGAAAAGGTTGATCATCTAGCATAAAAGAATTTGTGTGTATTGCAAGGTTCTCGAATCATCAAAATGATAAGAAATTTGGCCAAGTCTTGGTAAAGTTACAAACACTTGCACAGAAAGATGTATATGGGACTACACGAACACGTGGCGTAAAAAGCCGGCCCCCCGATTTTTACGATTTTACATGCATATTTAGAATATGAAGGAATTTGAAGAGCCATGCTTTTCAGGGAACATGTCTTAACTGATGTTCTTCCACACTTGCATAATAAGAATGAGTAATGCTCACAAATTATTTTTCACCTCTTCCCAGAACTCAACCTTCTCTTTAAGGTTGCATTTTAATTTTAGGTTATGTTTAAGGTTAGAGGGTTAGGGTTAGAGATTAACGAGAAACTTGGATTGGGGCTATTGTTCAACAAACAACATTATTAACCGTGTCAGACATCTGAGCAGGCCAATTTTCAAATGTTATTGCCCTCAAAGTTTAATTATACTAGTATAAATTCAACATGTATGGCAAGGGTTACCAACGGGATAGAGAGACATGACTGGAAATCTAGATCGAAAAAGGATGTAAGGTAATTATCAGCAACTTGCCAGGCAATTAACGGCCCTCTTCGCACCTTGCTAGCGGTAAATACATGGCTAGGATACATTTACGGAAGAAGGTATTAGCTTGTTAGAAGATATGGCTAGTGCCTCGTTTCCAGCCCGTCAATCATCCGGGGGGGGGGGGGGGTATCCATGTTTACCTTTAGAAGATAATTTTTGAGGAAATTGGATGCAATAGGGTCTATGCTTGCTGTATGATGCTCTAAGGCTTAGAGGCTTACTTGTGTTTTCACATGCATGTTTTTCCCTGATCGATCATCTCGTTAGACATCACGAATAGCAGTTAGAATGATCATAAACTGTCAAATATTTTTAGCAAGAATGATCATAAATTTTAACATATTTTAGTAATCAGAAACTGTCAATTATTTTAGCAAAAATGATCATAAACTTTCAAATATTTCACCATTTAATAAAACCTGAGTATCGCTACACCAACTAAAAATTTCTATCACCTTGCCTTAAATTTAATCTCATATTTGTCTTTTTGTCGCTCTTGTTGATTTGGTAATCATTTTGATGATCCCATTTCGTGAGGCATTTTGGATGAAGTTTGATATTCATTTTCCAGTCTCTCTTTACATCAATCAATTCTTTCCGGAAGGAGACTTCCTATACATGTACAACTCCAGGGGAGTGTTTAACAAAGACTAAGATTAACTTTAAGTTTGTCTTAACTATGACAGGCCATTCATGCTACTGGTTGCTCTCACCATTGGTTTCTCAATTATGATCTTCAGATAATAATTTTTCCTTCAATAATGAATTATCAAAAAATGTAGATTTGTGACCACGATTTGTACGTCCCTTGAGAAATCAATGCCAGGAATGGTTAGAGGAACTAGTGGCATGAATGGCCTGCCGTAGTTAAGTCCAACTTAAAGTTGATCTTAGTTTTTGTGAAACACACCCCAGGAGACAATGTGGAGGAAATGAGATGTGAAAGGGCATGTGCATACTCAATGATGCTCAAGGGCTTAAAGGGAACTCTACCGTCCTGATCTTAAAATTGTTCTCAATAAAAGCAAACAATTATGAGCAACGGATCAGGGAAAGTTTGAGCAAATTCTTCATGTAATGGAGGATGTGTAAGAAAGTGTAATATGAATCTATAAAGCCGAAATCAATGTTTGAAGTTTGCCCACTCTGTTTGTTATTTGGAAAGACATTACTGTGTTGGTGCCATCATTTCAAAACAACCAAATACTTGATATTTGATATATGTTTGTTGATGGCTGTCTAGACATTAAGTTCAATCTCCGCCCACTCTCTGTTTTGGTAAAAACATGGCATAAAAAATGATCAATACAAAGCAAGGAGACTTGCTCAGAGATAATTCTATGTCTGTATTATAAAGAGGTCTAGAATGATGAGATATAATATGAAATATACAAAGAGATTTGAGGATATATTATTACCACTTATGTTCCCATGATTAGATCATTTTCTATCTGCACACTTGCATGAAATTTAAAAATAATATAAATGATGTATTCAACTTCACCCAAATATTAGTAAAATTACAAAGCATATATTCGGGGGAGGAATGTGATCTTCTTATGTCTTATTATTTTAGTAATTTCTATGTTATATTTTTGCAGAGGAAAAGTTGGAAAAGGAGATACTTCATCTTAGATGATCAAGGAATATCATACTACAAATCAGATCAGGTGAGAAAATATAACCAGTTACGCTTTTAAAAAATTGATCATTGAAACAGAATGGCTTTATTCGAGGCATCAAATACTACACCTTGTCCTTGTGATCATCTGATTGGGAATGCTTGCTATTTGGTTAGAAAATCTTCAAAAAGTATGACTCAGTATAGATTTCCCCAAAACAGAAAATAACATAAAAGTTTTTAAACAGGTTTCTATCTTTTCTTATTTTCCCCTCTGTATTTTCATTTAATGAAATCAACAGAGAAGCTTGCATGAGCTAAAGCTGGGGGTAATAATACGATTGCAGGGCCCTCACGGAGAAAAGTATAATAATACTGATGAAGCTACCCTGGGTTAACAAGACATATCATTATTATTGTATCGGAGGGGTACTTGGGATTCAGCAGCGTTCCGACGCTGCTGCGTCCACACATTTTTGTTATGCCTTTAATCATTGCCTTTAAGAAAGTAATTTTTTTTATAATTTTTTTAATATTTTGTAACAGGAGAAAATTCCAATCAGAATGATTCCCCTGAAGGAGATATCATCATGCAAAGTAGCAGAGCATGGGTAAGTAGTTTTGTGCTGTAAGTATAGGTGGTGGCTATTCACCCTGGGGAAGAAAATCCAACCTTGATAGCAAACTTCTCTAGAAGAAAGCAGCAAAAATCAGAAAAAGGCCCCAAAATGAGAGTTGTGAATTTTTGAAAGTTGCAATCACTATAGGCACGGGCTCCTCAAATTGGCTGAATTGGTAATGTCACTGTGATGTAGTGGCGGACAACTTTCCCATTTGTTCCCAACCTCAAATTTTTTTTTTTTTTTTTTTTTTTTCTTCTTCAAAAGTGTATTACTCAGGAGGGTCTTTTCTCTTTAGAGCACCTATAATAATATGCTATCCAGTATCCATAATTTATTTTGAGTAGTGAGGCAAGGGAGAGGGCATTCAGGAGACAAACAGAAATTGATGATATTTTTTTACCCAACAAACAGGAGAGGAGTTATCCCTGACTACATCACAGTCCCCTGACCAAAATGTCAATTTGAGATTTGCATTGACTTTAGTGATCTCATATTTCAAACACTCATAACTTTCTGATTATTAGTCTGATTTAATATCAAACTTTTGCAATTCTGTTGATCTTATTTCTCTGCTTTCATACCACTACCAATGAACTTATTACAAGGGTTGGATTTATTTTTCATATTATAAATACAGTCAAACCTGCTTTAGTGACCACCCGTATACAAAGATCACATTTTTGGTTTCCCTTGAAAATGGTTTCTAACCAAACATGCACTAAAGGAACCTGTACATAAAGACCACCTGCCTATGAAGACCACTTTTCTTGTCTCCCTGGGGCGGTCTTTATATACAGGTTTCACTGTAGTTCCTGAAACTTGATTGTGATATCCTAGCTGCAGACATGGTGGTCGGACTACCATGCACATGTAAGGCGAAGTGCTGCTTTAGTTATGAGACAAATGTAATTGATAGAAGCCTTATTCTGTATTTTACTTGCATTGTTTCTAAACCATTTTCCAATAATCATGTGGATGAGCTAAAACTCTTATTGTGTATAGTCAACATCATTAAAAAAACTGCATAAACTTATTGTGTATTGAGCAGGGAAGTGGGATGGTCCTTTTGAAAGAATGCTGAACCATGCATATATTGGGGATATCTACCAAGAGTTTCCACAGGTCCTCCTCCAACAAATAACCCCAAAGTAAAAGAGAGAGAGAGGATTGAGGAGTCCTGAAAAGGACTCTCGGTAATCTTTCTCGAGGGTGTGTAGTCCTGAAAAGGACTGTTTGTGTAGTCTTGAAAAAGACTGTTGGTTATCTTTCTTAGCTTATAGTTCTAAGGAGAACTATAGCCCTTGGAGAGGATGAGTGGCTGGAGTGGCTCAACGTTTCGAACAGGTTGACTATCCATCGTCAGGAGTGGAGAATATCTGGCATGCGTGAGCTTAAGTCACCGGGGTGCGGACGTCGGGGAAAAATACCTGACTGGAAGTCGAGAGTGGACGAGAGTGGTCGAGAGTGGACGTGTTTTTCTGGAGCTCCCGTTTTACATTTTATTTTCTATTTTCTTTTCGCGAATTTTAACCTTCTAAGTTGTTTTTAACATCTCATCGTGAAAAGTAATCTTTATGCTACAAATCAAGATTAGTTTTGTGCTTTTTAATGGACATCTTCCTGCTTTACAGCGGTTTTAACTTTGGAAATTTTCGGTGAAGCAAATTTCCCGCCACTCGTCTATTCGCACAACACACAGCGTAGTGTCTTATACACAGCGACGAATACGTACACCACGCTACACAGCGACGTATTCAACATACACGCGACGTGTCGAATATCTCCCGCGCCATCTTGGATCTTACGACATCGCACATTTTAGACTTCTACTTCGTATTGTGAACTTTTATATGTATTTTTATCGCCTGAATAAATTATTCCAAACTGATACTTGTGGACAAAATTTTATTAGTAACTTTTTAGACTTCAAATTTTTGAAATATTTTTAACTTCCGTCGTAAATTTGAAAGCAAGCGCTAACTTTGTTAGATAGTCTAGTAGCACTTAGCAGCCCTACATCGACGACATGTTTCTCACCGGACATGGACGACGCGGATCCGGTACAAGATCTACTGAAAGCGAAAAGCAGCGAGAATCATCAATGCCAGCACTCTGCCTGCTCTTATTGATTTCCTTCTTCCAACTTGGACTACGGACCTACCGAGAATGTGAAAGGGACCCTTACCCTGGCATTCATGGTTTGTCAAGATACACCCAGAAGACTTACGGTAGGATTGTTCCTTTTTTTGACTCTCACTTTGCCCCCCATCATGATATGTGCATGTTGAAAATGTCAGCATTCCAAACTGATTTACGAGCTGCGTACATAATCTCTTATTCGTCTGCACTAAATGTATTTCGAGGAAATGGGCTAAAACATTCATCTACCCCCTTCCTGGGCCATCCTAGGGGTCGTCTACCACTGCTCATTATAATAAATTTATTGGCTGGGGACATTAGCCTCAACCCAGGCCCTGGGCCAAAAGTACACCAACGGCAACGTGGACGTAAGCCCAAATATCCTTGTGGGCTATGCTCGCGCGCTGTGAAAGATTCCGGCATTCAGTGCTCAGAGTGTACAAGCTGGTTTCATTTAAACTGTTCAAATGTGTCAAATAACACCTTAAATTTTCATGCTGAAAACTCAAACGCCATTTGGCTTTGCCCTCTGTGTGATGTTATGAACTCTGCTACTAGTTCATTTCTTGATTCATCAACTGACTCTGATCTGTCAGGATTAAATCCCTTTGAAAGTCTTACTTCCTTGAACGAAGACCAGTGGAACCACACGAACCCACGATCATCTAGCCCTATCCGTTCCGGACCTAGTAAGTTACCTCATAAGACTCGTAAGACTCCAATCAAAATGGACAGAAACCCTCTTCCCCCATTGAAACTCACAAGAATAGATAATACCTGGACAATTGTTGGGAAGGATGGAAAGACTAGTAAGAAAATCACCCCAAGTCCCATCGATGGAAATACACCTAAACCTAGACCAGACACCCAGAAGCAGAAAGCCCACCGAAACGTCACCGGTCACATTGGAATCCAAATTGCATTTATAAATTGTCGTAGTATTAGTGGAAAAACTGCAGGTATTACTTCGCTCATTGAAACTGTGAATCCTGATATCATTATTTGATAGAATCTTGGCTGGACCCGTCAGTCAAGTCTGCCGAAATTTTCCCTCCTCACCTTCAAGTTTTTAGAAAGGACAGAAATTCGCATGGAGGTGGCGTGTTTATTGCCATCAACGACTCCATTCCTTGTTTTGAAAGAACTGATTTGGGTACTGACTCTGAACAAATATGGTGTCAAGCTACCCTCCAAGGCCAGACGCTGCAGATAGGAAGTTTTTATCGCCCACCTGACTCAAAAGTCGCACCTCTCCAGGACCTGGACTCACAACTTTCAAAAATAAACTCTTTGTTACGCTCTCCACTCATCATCCTCGGCGGCGATTTCAACGTCCCGGGTGTAGACTGGTCAGACGGAACACAAAGTGAACCTAAAGGTGCCCTCCAGGATGCCCTAGCTCAAGTTCTTATTAATAATCATTTGTCTCAAAAAGTCACCTTTCCCACTAGACGTGACGAGTCAAGTGGCACAGAAAACACCCTTGACCTGTTGTTAACTTCACATCCAGACTTAATTTCTGAAGTCTCTTCTTGTACTGGAATTAGCGATCACCTTGTCATCCTAGCAAAACTTCATACTAAGACCACGGTTCCTCCAAAACCACCCCGCAGACTTCACCTCTGGAATAAAGTAGATAATGAGGAATTCAAAGACCGGGCAAGACAGCTTGGAGAAGATTTCTTCAAGCTCCAACCAGGAAATAGATCCGTAGAAGAAAACTGGACCTGGTTAAGAGACACATTGGAAACTATTGTTACAAATAATGTTCCCCACAAGACTGTAAAGGGCCGAGCACGTACTCCATGGTTTACAGGGAAATTAAAACGCCTATGTAATAAAAAGGAGAAGTTATATATTCATGCCAAGAGAAGTGGTGCACAACGGGATTGGGACAAATTCACCAAAGCAAGAAAGCAGATCGATCGTACCATTAGAAGCGCCCACAGACAACATGTCTCTTCAATCCTCGAGGGTGATAACCCGAAGGCCTTCTGGAGGTACGTTAAATCAAGGCGGACAGACAACACCGGTGTCCAGATGCTTAAGGTAGAAGGCAAGCTAATCTCTGAAGATCTGGAGAAAGCTGAAGTCCTCGCCAATCAATTTCAAAGTGTATTTACCCGTGAAGACAAGTCACCGTCATCGCTCCCCAACCTTCCACCCAGCCCTTTTCCTGATATGCCTCCCACCCGGGTTGACGTCGAAGGTGTAAAGAAGCTACTACTTAACATCAATGTCACCAAGGCCATCGGCCCGGACCAGATTCAGAACCAAGCTCTCAAAATTGCAGCAGAAGAACTGGCTCCCATCTTGCAGTTCATCTTCCAACAGTCACTCGATTCTGGTGATCTCCCACTGGACTGGAGAAAGGCAAATATCACTCCACTTTTTAAGAAGGGCTCTACCACTGACCCAGCAAATTACCGCCCTATTTCACTCACGAGTACCTGTTGTAAACTATTGGAACATATTATTGATAGTAACCTCATGAGCCACCTTAACGAACTCGATATTCTGGCAGAAAATCAACACGCAGATCATGTGAATCTCAACTTATTTTGACGATAAACGACCTGGCTAAGAACCTAGATGAAAAAGCCACCACAGATTTGATAACACTTGACTTTTCTAAAGCCTTTGATGTCATCCCCCACCAGAAGTTACTTCACAAGCTAGATTATTATGGAATCCGTTCAGATAACTTAAGATGGGTGACAAATTTCCTTACAAAACGACTTCAACGCGTATGTGTAAACGGAAAACATTCCGACTGGAAGCCAGTTCTAAGTGGAACCCCGCAAGGCACTGTGCTCGGTCCCCACTTGTTCTTGCTCTTCATAAATGACATTCACGACAAAGTCAAAAGCACCACCAAGCTATTTGCAGACGATTGCATGCTGTACCGTCCAGTGAAATCAGTGAACGACGTGGACATCCTGCAACAAGACCTTGATGCAATGGTGGAGTGGTCTCAGAAATGGGGCATGAAATTCAACCCCAAGAAGTGTGAATCAATGCGTGTCACCAGGAAGAAGAAACCGGGTAAATCTTCATACAACCTCCTTGGTGTCACCCTGGAAGAATGTAAGCAGACAAAGTACCTTGGTGTTGTGATCCAGAACGACCTCCGATGGAATGGCCAAACTCACCTCGCAACAACAAAAGCTATTGGGGTTTTGAGTTTTCTGAGACGCAACTTTCATCACTGCTCAACTTCCATTAAGGAGAAACTCTATCTCACTCTCGTTAGGCCACACTTAGATTATGCAGTTGCTGCTTGGGACCCATACACAGCTAAGAACATTTCTTCTATCGAACGAGTCCAGAGGCAGGCAGCCCGTTTTGTCACAAGCACTTATCAGAGAGAAGCAAGCGTCACCCACCTTCTAAATTCTCTTAAGTGGAACTCCCTCCAAGACAGACGCGAAGCTCACCGTCTAAGCTGTTTCCACAAAATGTTACATGGCCAGCTGGACATAGATCCCCGAACCCACATTAAACCTAAACCAGATCATAGCAGACGCGGGCACTCAAGTCAGTTTGAAATACCATTAGCCAGATTGGATGTATACAAGAACTCATTTTTTCCTCGCACAACCGAAGCATGGAATAATCTCAATCCGACCGTAGTATCCCTGACTGACTCAGCAAAGTTTAAAGTAGCACTCCTTCCGAAATAAGTCCACTCTCTGCCACCACGACCTCCAGTTTAAATTCCACCAGGAATCTTTTGGAGGAACAACAACCAAGTACCAAGTACCAAGTAATGTTTCCCAAGGTGTGGAAATGAAAGTGTTTTTAGCAACCAACTTATTATGATGTTTATGGTAGTTTTATATTTCATATTTTATCATTCACAGGCCCAGCATTCAGAGGGATAACTTATTTGAAATCATCAGTGCAGGAAGGACGTTCTTCGTACAGGTAATAAGACGCAGAAGGGCCTTATTGGAACAGAGCACATTTTCAGCTCTGGTCTGTAGTGATATTCTTCTTTTCCTTTTTGGTAGGGGCTTCTTGTTTGCAGGAGTATTTGGCAAAACTAACATGAAAAGTATTAATTAAGAATTCAGGTCCCACTTTCCTCAATGTCTTTTTTCTTTTCTTATTCCTTCAGTTTGTTTTGTTTTGTTCTTTGGTTCTCTTTTTTGGTATTCTCTTCATATCTTGGAAATTCATGTAATGAAAATTTCTGTGGGAACCGTACCTATACTATATATTTTCCAACAGCAACGTACAATGCCTTTTTAGAAATGTTACAATCAAAATTATTTCACAGAACATGAGAGTATTAAAGCCCATCTGTACTAGTTTACAGGAGGGATTAGACCACCCTGCAAGGTCACTGATGGGTGGTTATCTCATCAAATCAGCTCTCAATTAACATAAGAAAAAGAGGATCATGGCGGACCAATGGTCACTGATTAGGCATTGTTTGCTATAAAGAGGGCGCAAGTAGCTGTAAGTAGTGCAGTGGGGCTTTAAACAAAAAAGACAAGGCTCACAAATTTCTATACACCTTTACCGGATCCCAACTTCTATAAATATAAGTTTTGCATTTGTTTCCTCCTTCCTGCAGGCCTATACGCCGGGAGAGATGGCATCGTGGATTGAGTCCATTAGCGATGCGATCGCCACCAAGAAGAAGGGTCTAGAACAGAGTGTGAGTGTCAAGAAGCCTGTTCATATGGCATCATTGTATCTCTTTATACCCTGCTGTATGTGATGATGCGCAACTTTGCCGGGGCCTTTTATAATTAGATACAATCATGTAGCTCTTGTATAATTGGGTCAATCCCAAATGGTTTGGCCAATTTTCGTGACCGTCATTACAAGAATTGAGAAGCTATTTCTTTTATTTTGACCCCAACAATGTTTTTGCCAATAATGATTGCATGCAAAAAGAGTATTAGCGATGCTTTCGCCACCTAGAAGATAGGTTCAAAACAGAGTGCGATGTTAAAAAGCCTGTTCACACAGCGTCTTTGTATCTCTTTATAACTTGTTGCATGTGATGCACAACTGTGGCATTCTTAGCAGACACCATTTACCGTTTCCTGTATAAAATGGGGTATTACTTTCGTTCGGGCCAATTAATGTTCAGATACAAGAAGCAATAGTTATGTGTCATGTGTTTTGAACGACACATGTCAATACTGCATAAGCCCGCTAAAAGGGAAATTGGAATTTTGGAGACAGAGGGCATTAAATCATAGACATGCACATGATAGTTATCAACTAAATTATTCATACCCTTTAAGTTTTGTACTTTTTGAAGTCCCGATTTAATTTTCTTCTGAATGTGGCCTATTAAAGCTTACATCTAAAAGTATTCAACAAAGGCCCTAATTCAACCAGTCCACCTTTCATTCTTGAGTTCCCTGGGGGACAATAAAACATCAAATTAAAGAGGGGTATGAATAATTTAGTTTTATATATATATATTTAGGATATCTCTTTTAATCTGTAAATATGCTATATATCCAAGAAGGTTTGTAATTATCACCGCCGCAATTATAATCAATGTTTGTTTAATCAGGAATGAAAAAAAAATGCACATGTACTTGCCAAGTAAGGGCCATTTGTTGAGCTAAAATATATATTTTTGTACAGGCCCAGCTGACATAACTGCTTGCCAAAAGCTATAAATAGATATTTTAATCAGTGCAATATTATGTTATTCTAACTAGAATGTTATATTGCTTTCGTTTTGGTTATTTGTGTATTAGTATTGAATATATGTATATTTCACCACAAATCTAACCCGAATGTACTTCACTTTGATTTAAGATTTGTTATTGAATGTCATTGTTCTCAGGTTTTCTATTTGTGCAATGAAACCACTGGATTTGAAAAGCAAGGTACTTTGTATTCAAACAATGGATAACGATACGTTATATACAACAGAAAGGATTTCTATTCTCAAATACCAGGTTTTTAGATACACTTGTACTATCTTCAGTTGTATGAAGATGAGTGAATTAGATAACGCACTTATGATTTTGCTTCACGTTTTTTGTGTTACAGTGCTATTAAATTTTGAGATGTAACTGCAGAACACCCATCCATGCGTCAGTACATAGTGGTCAGGGTTTTGCTAAGGGTTAGGGTCGGTGTAAGTGTTATGGCTCGTGTTAGAGTTAGGGTAAAGATTAGGGTTAGGTTAGTGTTAGGGTCATGGTTAGGATTAGGGTTAGGGTTTAGATTAGGGTTATGGTTATGGTTATTGTTAGGGTAATGGTTAGGGTTAGTGATAGTGGTGGTTATTCTACCTAACTGCTAAGAAAGCATACCCGGTAAATGCTTGTTAGGCTTTAGGTCTTCTCTGAGGGACCTGGTAATGAGGATTAATGCCTTACCAAAGGGCACTAGCGCATCAACTGGGTTTCGAACCCGGGTCGCCGGATTATGAGACCACTGCTCTACCAACTGAGCTATCGCTATTAGGGTTAGGATTAGGGTTAGTGTTAGGGTCAGGGTTAGCATTAGGGTAAGGATTAGGGTGTGTTTTAGGGTCGGGTTCAGGATTAGGTTTAGGGTCAGGATTAAAATATGGATTAGAGTTAAGGTCGAGCTTGGGCCCTAGAGTCAGGGTCAGGGTTAGGGTTAGTCTTGCGGATTGGGTATTCTGTAGCTCTTCCAAACTTTATAGCACAACATACACATAGTTTGCTAACATTTGAATTTATTTTGCTTTTCATTTTGTTTCTTGTTTTATTCTTATATAATTGCATGCACGGCCTTCCTGCCATCATCTTGCCACCTTACGATAGTGATGTGAGCGGAAGGGTTTAAATTCATGTACAGAGTTGTAGGTGAGTTTGGCATGGAAAAAGAAAGCATGCGATTATACAAATATTGGTTAATAGACATGAAGACAAGGCAAGTCTGTGCTATTTTATTCCATACTTTATGGAAAAGATCCAAGATTATTCATATTTCTCATCCTTTCATTTGGTTTATACCCCTACTAGTGCATTGATCAGACTAAACAAATTACTAAGTAAAAATAGCTCAGCTGTTTGATCTCAGTTGATAACTCTGCATGTGCAACACTTTTGATTAAGTACATGCATGTGACATCTATTGACCACATAACCAGGACTTGCCCAATAAATAGTGATGACGGATATAATTATATAGTAGGTTTTCATGGGGAGATCAACGCCATTCGGGTGTTTACCCAATAAAAGGTGTTGTCAATCACCAGGATAAGCCTCAATTGTTATGACCAATAGGCCTTAATTATGTAAAGCTCTGCATTTTCCACCAATTACCAAGTATTAAATTTGGTTCACGCGTAATTCATTACAAAGTTGTAAATTATATTTCTGCACATTTCAAGAACAAGAAAAATCTAATGAAAAATGTAGTTGTGTCTTAAAACTACTATGAAATTTACATGTAGCTGTGGGATATTATACAGCATGTGAGATTCAAACATGAATATAAGAAGGAGGGAAGTAATAAATATTACTCCTTTAAAGTGGGAATGTGGAATGCAGAAAATGATAATATAAAGATTGGGAATGAACTGCACTGCATTAGCAAATCTTCTTGCATTGTTGAAACATATTTTGTATTTTGCAGTCATGAACATGAAGCATTCTGTGCACTTGAAATAAATAATTTAGAAAATATTGATTGAAATATTTGTACCAATAAAAGTACTGCACTTATTAAAGCAAAGACAGAGTCAAGAAATACTCTGCTACAAACCATTGTGCAACATACATGCATGGTGATCTTTTGTAATCAATGAAATCATTATCCGTGTTTCTTTGATCTTTGACTTTTGATCTTTGACCTTTGTTCTTTGACCTGCAGATGTTTGTGAATAGAATGGAAGGGAATACCTACCTATGACTGAGTCATCATTGCCATACCAGTAACTTATCTGAGCCATGTCCGGTAAACGCCGTCGTCCGCACCTCGCACGTCCTCCATCCCTGACGAAGAAATGTCGCAAATCATTCCTCCAGAGTTGGACGGCATTTTTGTCTCGCGTTCCTAATCTTCTTGCTCAGTTCCACACATAGGACTTCGAAGAGGGAAGTTCTGCTTATCCTAGTGATCAAGTGTCACAAATGTCTCCTTCAGAGTTGGACAGTTTTTTGTGGGGCTTTGCAATCCTAGTCTTCCGGCCCATTCCTACACAAAGGAATTCAAACAGAATTCAAAGAGGGAAGTTTTGCTTCTTCCGATGGAGAAGTGCTACAAATCTCTCCTTCAGAGTTGGACATGTTTGTCTCGCAGCTCAGCTCCACACATACATGTACATGTAGGAATTCAACGAGGAAACCTGTGCATCTTAATTACCCTAAACAGCAACTGAAATAGCTTGACTGTGGAGAGATGTCATAGTTTTAGATGTACGTGATGACATAGCAGTGCTTCCCTCCCTGTGAGTTGTTCAAAACAGCCAAAAATCTGGAGTGGGTCCTGGAATTCCCATTAAACTAAGTTATTTTTTCTTAAATTTTTTAGATAAACCAAGAAGTCACAATTCTTTGTGTCTGTATACACTTTATGGTTATAACAGATCAATCAATCTTACTGTACAAGGGTTAAAGATGCTCATGCGTGGGTATATAGAGGGCAGCACACGGACGTATGCACAGGAGCGTAATACCTGTTGGCTCAGTGTTATGCAGTGATTGCCAAGTTACCTACTTCATGAACGACTATATACCCATGCAAGAACATCTTTAAAGTATCACAACCTCATCATTATTTGATCGTTTTTTGTCTACATTTTCTTTATTTGTCAGAAATATATATCAAATTCCAGTGTTTATGCTTGAATTGAGAGGAGGTTTGCTAACTGCTGGCAGAAATCATTTTCTGAGAAATGATGGGATATTTGAACAAATTTTTTAATGTAACTTTAGTGATTCTGATCAAATTTGATTGATGATACTAGCAAACATCTGACCTAATTATACCATTCCATAATATATTTCTGTTTAACTTTAACTAGCAAAATAAAACACTATACACGTGTAACATCAAAGCAATAGAATATACATTTTTGTACGGCTTCTGAAAACTCTTCTATGTCGAAATTGAAAATATAGGTTTACATCTACATGTTCATGTACATGTAGATGCCCGAGCAATTTCATAATTCCATGTTACTGCATTTAACTTTATTTTCCAAAAAGGATATCAGTATTACCGGTAACTGTGTTATTCCTTTTTGGGGATTTCTGTTTCAATATGAAGGGGTACAGTCCACTGCAAGATACATCAATATTATGAGGATATTAGCAGTTATTTTTATTTTTATTTTCCGTAGAGAAGTTTGGGTGTTGTCGTGAATATTTTTCTTATATTTGTATATAGATACAATTGTATATTAACTTTGACTTGTGTAAAGGATGTACCTGTATAGATATTATGCTTATTGTTTATATTATGAATCGGCACAGATGATTATATTATACCAGTTCACAATGATAGGGAAAAGGAATTTTGATTTGATCATGGTCGCAAACTTTGAAGATAAAGTTGAGTTCTGGTCATGCAACTGCATTCTGAAAGAAACTGTGTGGAAGAGAGTGAAAAAAGTTGGTCATGTAGCAACCAAGTATATAAATGATAAGAAATCAGCCCAGTTTTGCAAAAGGTCACATGCAATTAACACAAAAATGTGTATACGGGACTACATAAACATGTGGCATTAAAGTTGTGTTGTTGTTCTTGTCATTATTTCAAATACGAGGGCATTTGAAGAGCCACCCTCTTCAGGGGACATTTCTTTCTATTATACTCTTCCACGCTGAGGTAAAAGTAATAAAAAGTTCACAATTTACATCTTTCCCAGAACTGGACCTTCTCTTTAACTCTTTGTTTGCTTTGGTCAACTAATTGAACAATCATGAGATTGCCACAGTCAACCTTTGTCACAAGGACTGTTTCTATGTATCTTGATAATCAAAACCATGTGCCAGTATGGGTTTAGATCATTAATTTCAGTAACTCCTTTGCTTGCCTCCAGAAACTAAATTGTATCGTGTGCATTTATGGAGCTATTCCAAGAGGCATTACACATACTTATTTTCCTGACCGTGAGAAAGTAGTATTAATTTTGATGGTCATTGGTCAACCTTTAAAGGTATCGTGTAGACCGCTGATAGCCAGAAGGGCTTTTAATTTAATTCCTAAAAACAGCATTAATGCCCTTCTGCTTCTAAGGAAATGTGATGACAATCAGTCAGAATAATACAGAGAGTGTCTTAAAGGCTTTCATATTTTAATAGCAGATTTTACTTCTCTTTTGTGGCAAAACGTACCTGAACATTAAATTCTTTGAATTCCTACCGCATAATGTAATGAAAGAGAAGAAGAAGTGATAAATTGGAGACATGTAAAGAATTTGGCATTTGAAGATGGACATTGATTAAGTTATTGGGCAAGAGTTTAACAATTTTTATGTAAAATGAAAATCTGTACAAGTAGAAAACATTTGTTAAACTTAATGTCTTACATGCTGAAAAAGAAAGACTGCTCTTCATTTGGGTTAATGCATCTAATTTTCATGTTTATTTCTAGTGTTTTATTTCCTTTTTAATAGCATTGTTTTGTTATGTAACTTTAAAATGAAGAATACTTACTCCTTATGGTAGAATATATTTTTACAAAACTGCAAAGTCTGTTAATTGATGGTAAAGTGCTTTCAAACCTTCTTTCATTAATAACTTTTTAAGGGGTCTTTCATTTTTATGTTTTGTCAGTCTTTCTTTGTTTTATTAGGGAGTATTTGATGGTATTTACTGTGTGATCAAATCAGGTATGGTTTGGAAAACATTCCCAATATAAGAGTACGATATAGAACCTGTTACTCATTGAATACTGAAAGGGTATAAGTATCCAGTGTTTTTTAGGCCTTTAGCTACGGATGATAGCCCAACACATTCTTAATATTACTGTCACAGATTAATCTCTTTACTAATTGTTACACTTTGTCTCACATTATCACATGCAATACACATAGCTAGAATAATATTTCTAATATTTCTATAAAATTCTGTAAAGCTTTTGTAAAAGATTGAAAATTGCGGCAGCGGGCTGTCCATATATTGAATACTGCATGTTTATATGTCCAATTGTTTTATTTACAAATATCCTTATTACAGTACATGTGCTGTGATAATTCCTGCATATTGAACTAAAACACTAAATACCTTACTGCACATGCTCTATGTCATCAAGAAAATCCTTTTTGCACTGAAATTGTATGCAATAATGCCCTTCTAGTTCACCGCTAAACTTGAAGGCTTCCACTGTTCTTTAAATCCAGGTTTTGAAAAGATCATAAAGGCAATAAGAGTTCTGTCTTCCGCATGAATAACTTTGACACAAAGTATCGGTATGTCTTGATCTTTTGAATGATTTACCTTACATGATTTAAGGGATAAATGGAATATGCAATGCATAGTTGAATTATAATCTTTCTAATGGTTCATAATCATAGATAAGGAAAACAAATTAAAATGTTGGATAATTATGAGCTTGTTATAAACACACAAGTGAAACAAATTCAGGTGAATTAAATTTTCAAAGTGAAAACTTTTTTTTTTTTTTTTAAAGATTTGAATTAGCTTACAATTAGACATGAATTTTTCATGAATAAAAATATTTGGAAATTTTACCAAAAAAAAAAAAAAGACCACAGCCCTACAAGATTCCTACAGGAGGACTGTAATTTGATTGCACTTTTTTTTTAAAGTTTGATATTTGCGCAAATAACACAAAGCTATTCCATTGCCTCTTTTACAATACAACACTTTTGTAAAAGTTACAGACAAAATATGTTTTCTCCTCCAAATTCCACACATCCACCCTTAAAAGAAGCTCACCATGAAGCTATCTTTTTTTGCATATCAGAAATAGTGACATGGTTGTGTTTACAGATATTGTTAAATCTTCATGTTAACAATTTATAACGGTGGTAAACGCATGTCGTAGAATGCTGTAGGGAAGGGCCATCTTGTTTACTAGTAGGGATACCTGTTTTCATGCCACCATAGCCAGACTCCATGCCATGATGACCTCCCATTTAGGCTTTGTAATAACAGGACATTTTCGTAATCTCATCAAATTTAATGCATACATCTTTGTTAGGTGCCAGGGGACAAATTGTCTAATTCACCTGTTAAAAATAGTTGTTATACATAGCGTGTTGTTAGGTATGACAAGCCATAATATGTGTCAAAAAGATGTTAACTCTATGTTATTAAAGTGTGTTTATGAGTTAACGCTTTTCTGGCCCAAAGCTGATGGAAAATAAGATATAATTCATCCCTCTTTTGTGTGTGATTAATTAAGCAACATTAATTAGTTTTGTCTGTGATTATCAGAGCATTGTGCAGAAGAAGTTCAAAAACAGAACAGACCATGTACCACACTTCATAGGCAAATAATGGCTCCCAAAACAGTGATCAATTTCTTATAAGATAGCCTTCTTATTGCCAAAAGTTGTGTTTTCCTACAAAATCATGTTGTATGTTATCGCCTATTGCACATTTATATATGGGGAAGGATATAGGTAAGGAAAAAATGTGTACAGATTTACGAGGAAACTTGTAAAAATGAATGTGGATAAAGTTGCTTTTGCAATGGGTATATAAAAATGAAAGAGAAATATATGATATTATTTGCAATGTGCTGTTGTAATGTGTATGTGATTGATTCAGATTTGTTCAAGATTTATTAGGCCTACTGTAATATTATTTTATTTTACATAAAGATTATGATACTAATATGTGTGTGTGAGAGAGAGACAGAGAGAGACAGAGACAGAGAGAAGGGGAGAGAGAGAGAGAGACAGGAAAAAGAGACAAAGAGGAGAGAGGTTTAGGGGAAGAAGGGATATAGATGGGGCAGAGATGGAGATATAGAAAGGGGAGAGGAACAAGGAAGGTTTAGGGGGGGGGCATGTTAGAGAAAGATATAAAAACTATTGAATATACAAAGAAATGTTATATGCAAAATGTACCTGAGATGATTAGGGTATTATGATTGCATAACAAAATAAAACAAAACGCAGGCAAATTAAATGAAGATAACAAACTCAAATGTCATGCTTAGAACAGATGAAAGTAGAAGTTGACACCAACTAGTCCGCATACAAAAGATCGACCGTTTCAAATAGGGACGATGAAGTTGCTTTGTATCCATTTTTATTTTAGTGGGATTTCCCCTGTATCGCGAACCTCGGTTTAATGCTAAAACTCCATCTCATGCTCATGACTTAGTTTTTTTTATCCTGCTCCTTTGCTCCTTTCCTCTATCGCTAACTAACATTACGAAGAACGAAACATGTCCACATCTACGCTAGATCGTTATCGTTCTTCTGTGTCCTTTCGTATTTCTCTTTCTATCTCTCGACCCCCCCCCCCCTCCCTCCCCTTCTCTTTCCTCTCCCTCTCTCTCAGTTTCTCTCCTTCTTCCACCTCTCTCTCTCTCTCTCTCTCTCTCTCGCCCCCTCTCTTGGCCCCCTGTCTGTCTATATCTCCTTTTTGGGGGGTCCTTTTCCCTATTTTTTTCCCTCATCCGCGAGTCACCTCATGCTTGATAGAGATGATCAATTATCTCGAAGCATCGTTTGTCAAGCACGCCCTCATCTGAATGGAGGAGGAGAACGTCAAAAATATATATATATATTTTTTTTTATCAATGGTGTCCCTGTTCTACTTTTTTCCATCTCTTTAATAATTAACGCCAAAGCAGAGAAGCAAAGACTACTAAGACTTACCAGTAATGTAAACTTGATGTGTTTGCAGATCATCGAAGGGATTGTTGTTCTTAACTTCTACATGTTATGTTTTTAAGCTGAAAACGTGATCATGTTTCATCAATCGAATAATTCCATTTTCAAGGTCTTCCAATCTGCTCTATATAGGAATCACGTGCAATTCATCGAATTTCTTGAAAGAAAAAAAAAATTCATTCGCTATCCTTTACTTTTTATTGCCAATGTTTTTTCTTCAAATGTCCAGTACGGCTTGACAGCGAATCAGTAGATTTCAAACTGTCCGCCCCCTCCCAACCCACATGTCGATAAGGAGACAGTGGTGAAGAAAAACAGTCATGGTGCCACTTGTGTTTCAAGGGGGCGTACCCTCCCCCAAACTCGCCACGAGGTCTAACAACATGTTCTCAAATTTGCCAACAAATTTTTAGTACCAATATATCAATATCAAAACTTCACAGGGTTGATATCGATACTTTGCAGGTTTCCATCTTTGTGTCAAAATTACTCCAATAACCTACTTCCTCCGGCATTCCACAACCTGTTTGTTATAAACAACACAATTCATTTTTATCCGACACGAAACTCTTAAAACTTTCATATGATCAATCCAAAATGGCTAATTGCTCATAAATCTCTCCGACACCATGGCCCTGATCTATGAAATAGTCTCCAAACTACTGTTTAAACATGTACTACGGTATATTCTTTCAAGGCTGCCATCAGCAAACAAGTCATGAATTATCAACTGTGTTTTTTTTTAAAGATAGGATTATCTAAATGATTTATATTATGATTTTTTAATGATATATATATCATATTATATATTTGTTTACTTATTCATAGCAACCAAAGGGTTGGATTGATAATATATACATTTTCAACATGATTATGAACATTATTAAAATTGAGTACAATGAAATTGATAAATTAAGAATATAAATACATGTACAGTAGGTCATTAATACATACACATTAATACATTACAATATATATGTACCTAGTTTGTATATTAGTTTCTATTATGTTGAAAGGTGCAGAAATAAAATCAAACAAATGAACAATTTGTTTGAGAAGTAGCAAAACAGAAAGATCATCATATCAAACAGTTTTGACATATAAACATGGAAAAGAAGAAAAGATGTGCATGATTGTATTTGGTACAACAATGGATGGATTTGCCGATAATAACTGTGATGGTTGGGGTAGAGATATACCGACCCCCACCTCCCCCTTCTAGCAGTACCCCTACTTCCGTTCATTTGCCTCTCACCCCTTGTACTTTAACCCAGATCTTTGCTTCAGCCCAACTTTCCTCGTGAGGCAATCACCAGCTCGAAACCCAGGACGAGTTCGACCTCCTAATGTCCGCTTATCAACCCAAATTTTGCCTAGACATGCTAAAAGGTCTTCTCAATTCCTCTTCTTCTGCTGCCAGTAATCTTCAAAGTGTTACGCAGCCTATCACGAAGATATGAAGGAAGATCATTACCAGTTGTGCGTGCAGGCACACTGAACCAGGGTGGTATGCGAGAGGTGAAGCATATTGACGTGTATGTAGTATGGCTCTTCTACACAGGGGGCCTCCAGCATGTCTAATTAAAGGGAGTGTAGCTTGGCAAATACTGGTCAACGCCATCTACGTCTACTTTTGGACAACTGCACTTAAACGAATGAACTTATTAATTAATGGTAGTCAGCAACTTAATCTCTACATGCATGGTCAGCGTTCGCGAAACAGACCGAAGTTCTCCTCACGCTTCGGTTTCTCGTATGTTGCACGCACGTGATTGCTGCGGCCGCGTCGTCCGTATAATATTGGATATGATCCTACATGTTTTTGTTTAAATAATTGTAATCAAACTTGAATTTAAATAATTAACGTACAAGGCGGGCAGCGGGGGTAAGGGAGCTGTAGCCGCGCAACCCCTCTCCTCTCTCCCCTCCCCCAGCAGGGAGGTGGACAATTTGTACATTCTGTATCATAATCATTATTACTGCAATGTCAATATTTTGCTCGCTTCCTTTGCTCTCTTACAACAGTAGAAAATGAAAATTGGAATTAAAACCCCACCCTACTAAAAAATCTGTTCCTGCTTCTTTCAAAAATAATCCTCATTATGATGAACATTTATGATTTACATAGCTAATGATATTCGAAATGCTAAAGTAAAATGTAGGTTGAATGTGCATGAATATAGTCTTTTTATTTAAACAAAATTGAACCGAAAGGTCAATCAATAATTCATGCAGTCTGCTGTATGTCTGCAGCTCTTATTCATAATTCTTCCCTTCGTCTTCTTCCTTCTCCTTTCCCATCTTTGTTTATATTTTATGAAGCTATATTAGGAGCATGGAAGAGTGCTTGCTCGATCACGTGACCTCTCTCATACCACCTGCCTACGGACTGCCTAAGCCAACATCATCAAGGGGTCGCCGCAGGAAATTACACTCCATAGTAGCGGGTCCATGCATGATTGTCTGGCCGGGGGGGGGGGAGGGGGAGGGGGGAGGGGAGAGACAAACTCCACACACACACGTACGCAAACACGCACACACACGCACGCACACACACACATGCCCAAATAATGGCATCAAATTGTAGATGCTCTTTTAACCCCACCCAAAAAATTATATTGAAAAATATTTTTTTGTTGTAAATCACCGTTTCATTGTTGTTGTTGTTGTTGTCGTTGTTGTGGAGGAGGTGGGGGGGGGGGGGTTATATAAAATTACGTTTGGGGGTGCATGATAAGGGGCACATATTTTTGTTCTTCTTTATTTGGATTTAAGGAAAGTTAGATTGGATTTTGCAGGGGAAGGGGGGACCCGGCCCACGTCCCCTAACCTTTTTATTCACTACTCCTCAACATCCGATCTCGACCGTTTCCCCCAGTCACGTGACGAACGTTCCAAACATGATCTCGTCACCTGCTTGTCTGTTTGAAGATGTTGTCAATGTGACACCGTTTTACATCCCCACTATAATAAGACACAACAGTACCAGCGGCGAAGATAGGGTGCACGGGACACAGAGGTCCCAATCGAATGGTGAGAGTGGACGAATAAAAGGAACGCGGTCCCAACGGCTTTCGAAAAGTCTACCTAAGACAATTTCAATGGCACTGCCAATTTCTTACTTACTAAAGTAACCTGATCATGATGTCTAACGGTTATACATGTACAAAAAATGGCTATTGAGTTAA